ACACAGACACAGTCACAAACACACACAGAGACACACAAACACAAACAAACACAAACACACACAAACAAACACACACAAACACACACAAACACACACACACACACACACACACACACACACACACACACACACACACACACACACACACACACACACACACACACACACACACACACACACACACACACACACACACACACACACACACACACACACACACACACACACACACACACACACACACACACACACACACACACACACACACACACACACACACACACACACACACACACACACACACACACACACACACACACACACACACACACACACACACACACACACACACACACACACACACACACACACACACACACAACACACACACACACACACACACACACACACACACACACACACACACACACACACACACACACACACACACACACACACACACACACACACACACACACACACACACACACACACACACACACACACACACACACACACACACACACACACACACACACACACACCTCATACGCACTTCAGAATTCTCACACACACACACACACACACGCACAAGGCAATACACGCACTACACGCAATGCACACGCAACTACACACACAGAGACACATACACACAGAGACACACACAAACACAGACACACACACAGACACACACACACACACACCTCATACGCACTTCAGAATTCTCACACACACAAGGCAAAACACGCACTACACGCAATGCACACGCAACTACACACACAGAGACACATACACACAGAGACACAATAAAAAAGAGACACACACAGACACACACACACAGACACACACACAGACACACACACACACAGAGACACACACACACACAGAGACACACACAAACACAGACACACACACAGACACACACACAGACACACACACACAGACACACACACAGACACACACACACACAGAGACACACACACACACACAGACACACACACACAGATACAGACACACACACACACACACCCTATGTGAGCTCTCCTTTCAGTCCAATTTTCCTGCCAAGGTGAAGGGCGCTGCGGAGGACTTGCACAAGCGTGACGACGCCTTTGCGCCTGGGACTTTTTAAAGGAAGGTTCTTCGTATGCAAGAGGCTGTTGGACCCTCAAAGCAAACAAGGTTGAGGGGCCATCAGGATACTTCTAGTATTGGTTTTTCGTTCCGGGCCAGGCGGGGGAGACGGGGAGGAGTTGACAGCTCGGGAGTTAATTTGGCCTGGGATCGGATGGCTGGCCTCGCCTTGTGTTGGCTTGGTGCGGGCCGACTTGAGTTGGAGTTCGGTTTTGTGGGAGCGCAACACTGCCGTTCGGCGGAAAGGAAACCCCCAGAGAGTTGAGGCCTGAATTGCACCAGCATCGACCCCGGATAGCGAACAACATCGAAAAACATGCCAACGATTGCACACCAGCACCTCGAACAGCACCCCCCGAAGAGTGCCCCAAACAGCACCCGCAGAGCGCCCGGCCATCAATCTCGTGGAAATGCGCCCGCAACATCACCAGCGCCTCAAACAGCACCCCAAACAGCATCCCAAAACAGCACCTGCACAAGAATCATGCCCCCCAGCACCCTGCCGATATTCTCGCAAAAACACATCTGGCTGTCAGCAGGCACCCATGCCCCCCCGTCCATCTCGCAAAAAAACACACACCTGGCCGTCACCATGCCCCGCAAAACAGCACCTGCACCAGCACCCCAAACTGCACGCCCACTAGCACCCAGCCGTCAATCTCGCAAATCACTTTCCCTCCCCTTTTGTAAATGAAGTTAGAACCCCTATAGCTTTCAGCTATTTGGGGAAAAAGTGGGGTCAACCAATCTCCCGTAATTACTCTTTACCTCTTGCGCGTTGAGATTTCATTGTATTGGCGTGTCATCAAAACCCAAGGTGGACATTGGTACACGGTTTCCTTTTTCTTTACCAGGGTTGCCCCAAATTTCCACAAACTTGAGGCGATCGCTTTGGTCATTGAGCCAAGTTGGCACGGAAAGGTGGCCCACCATCGCAGCGACGTCTCTGGGGAACCCTATCATCACATGGGCGCCGTTGGCTTCTTTTTGTTTTTCCCAGGGAGGCCCCCCCCCCCCCCCCCGTGAATCTCGATGTTCCCCTGGGAACGAAATGTTCGGGCACCCAGAAATGGGGGTCAGCAAGAGGGCTCCTATGTCCTCGTTAGCATCGACCAAACAGATCTCTTTTTTTTTCCCGAAAGCATGGCGAAGGGTTCTTCCGCTGGGTTCACTTGAGTTGTTCTCATGAGAGTCATTACAAGGTGTCATTGCAAGGAATCAATGCAAGGAGTCATTGCAAGGAGTCATTGCAAGGAGTCATTGCAAGGAGTCATTGCAAGGCGTCATTGCAAAGAGTCATTGCAAGGAGTCATTGCAAGGAGTCATTGCAAGGAGTCATTGCAAGGAGATTGCAAGGAGTCATTGCAAGGAGTCATTGCAAGGAGTCATTGCAAGGAGTCATTGCAAGGAGTCATTGCAAGGAGTCATGAGAGTCATTGCGAGCTGCGCATGGAGTCAAGTGCAAGTTGCAAGTGCAAGGAGTCAAGTGCAAGTTGCGAGTGCAAGGAGTCAGGTGCAGGTTGCAAGTGCATGGAGTCAAGTGCAAGTTGCAAGTGTAAGGAGTCGAGTGCAAGTTGCAAGTGCAAGGAGACAAGTGCAATTGACTTGCGAGGAGTTAAAATCTCTTCTTAGGGCGGCGGGGTAGTGCCGACGACACTACACGAAAATCGACCCTCTGCGGGGATCGGCGTGGTCGAGGTGCAAAAACCAGTGGTTTTTTGCGACTTCTACAGTTCCCGCGCGACCATCTGCGGGGATCGGCGTTGGTCGAGGTGGAAAAACCCATGGTTTTTTGTTGCGATTTCTAAAGTTCCCGCGCGACCATCTGCGGGGATCGGCGTTGGTCGAGGTGGAAAAACCCATGGTTTTTTGCGATTTCTAACATGCTCGCGCGACCCTCTGCGGGGATCGGCGTGGTCGAGGTGCAAAAACCCATGGTTTTTTCCGATTTCCAACATGCCCGCGCGACCTTCTGCGGGGATCGGCGTGGTCGAGGTGCAAAAACCCATGTTTTTTTTGCGATTTCTGCGGTGCTCGCGCAACCCTCTGCGGGAATCGGCGTGGGCGAGGTGCAAAAACTCGAGGTTTTTTGCGACTTTTGTTGTTCGAGCTGGTCCTCGGGAGTTGTCTCGTGGTTCGCGCGCCTGCTCCCGGAACCGGCGGGTCGCGGGTTCGATTCCTCCCTGGTCCGCGGGCGGGCGTCGCAAGATGCAACTTGCAAAGCAACTTGCGCAGAGCAACTTGCGCAGAGCAAGTTGCACAGAGCAACTTGCGCAGACCGACCAGTTTGCGCAGAGCGCCTTGCCTAGAGCAACTTGCGCAGAGCAACTTACGCAGAGCAACTTGCACAGAGCAACTTGCACAGAGCAGCTTGCACAGAGCAACTTGCAGGGAGCGCAATTTGCACAGAGCAACTTGCAGGGAGCCACTTGCAGGGACCAACTTGCCGGAGCAACTTGCGCGGAGCAACTTGCGCAGAGCAACTTGCACAGTGCAACTTGCGTAGAGCAACTTGCGCAGACCAACTTGCACCGACCAGTTTGCGCAGAGCACCTTGCCTGGTGCTGTCTCGCGCCAACTTGCACACACTGCAACTCGCACAGAGCAACTTGCGCAAAGCAACTTGCGCAGAGCAACTTGCGCATGTGTCAGGCCGGGGATAAACAAGTCTGCCGTACATCGTGGGGAGTTATGCTTTCAGGCCACTCACCCTGTAGGAGTTTGACGCAAGGAGTTCTCATCATGAAAGAAGTTGCGAGGAGCATGACGCACACGGCTTATTTACGGGCATGGCGCACACAGCTGGTTGTTATGTGGCATCTTGCGGATGAGATTTGGCTCAAACAGAAGTCATGGAGCTCGAAGTAGCTAGGCTTCAGGCTGGCGCGGCCCAGCATGGCAAAGCGTGGCTGCAGCAAGAGGTGGCGGCCAAAGCCCGACCCCAACTTCGCGCACTCGCCCGACAGCTGGATGTGCGCCGATGGGTCGCAGGCAGCAACGTGACCAAGGCAGACCTAGCTGCCGCTGTCGTGGAGCAGCTGTGCCCGCAGGCCAGGATCGAAATCTGGAAAGTTTTGCTGGTGTTTGTTTTGCTGTGCTGATTGTTGCTAGGAGCCAAGCAGTTCTGCGGCTTCGCTGACGCCGGTGTCTCGACTTGGTCGTTTTTGATGATGTTTTGCGGATGGCCGAAATGTAAGCACCAGATGGCACCATGTCGTGTTTCTTACGGACGGGTTGCCTCATCTCATGGACAGCGCAGGACGAGGCAGAGCTTGTCGTGGCGACGCTTCGTGCTGGTTTGTCGGAGAAGGGCAAGGCGTGGCTGCAGCAAGAGGTGGCGGCCAAAGCCCGACCCCAACTTCGCGCACTCGCCCGACAGCTGGATGTGCGCCAATGGGTCGCAGGCAGCAACGTGACCAAGGCAGACCTAGCTGCCGCTGTCGTGGAGCAGCTGTGCCCACAGGCCAGGATCGAAATCTGGAAAGTTTTGCTGGTGTTTGTTTTGCTGTGCTGATTGTTGCCAGGAGCCAAGCAGTTCTGCGGCTTCGCTGACGCCGTCTTTCTTTGCGAGTGGCTTGAAGCTTACCACGAGCAAGTTTTACGCGGGACACTTTGTGGACTTGTCGGAGCGTGGCAATTCTGCGAAAGCGCAGCCGCTGGCTATGTCGCACCCCGAGAGCATGGCGATGCAGTCCAAATTTCCAGTGGCTAGGTCTGACTTCGCAGTCCTGGAAAACCAGTGCGTGGGCAGGGAGCGCATCGACATCATCGGGGTGATCGCCAGCTGCGACGTGGCTCCGACCACGAAAGCGAAGGCTAATGTCTGGCTGAAGGATTTGACCGGAAAGGGCATGCTGTTGACTTTGTGGGGGGAGAAGCATGTCGACAAGGCTCAGAACTTCCAGGCTGGGTTCGTTCTGCAAGTGGACAACGCGCTGCTGCTCAAGCGCGGAGAAAACAACATTGAGGCTACAGCCGAACACTGGCTCGAGAGTGACAAGCACAGCTTTTCTTGGCTGCACTGCGATCCAAGAGGTGAAAAGGCAGACAAGCTCCGGGCTTTGGACACCAGTCGAGGTGAGGCCATCTCCGTGCCTTGGACTCCTTCTCTCGGCGTGGGCGGGCGCTTGTCTTCTGCCTTGTCTGCCTGTACGTAGCCTGCGCAGCCAACATGTGCGCGTGTGGCCTGGCCGTGGCGCAAGGAACTATTCAGGCTGGGATGTTGGCGCAAGAAATTTGCAGGGCATATTTTCTGTAGTGATCCATGTAGTGTTTGCCTTGAACGCTCCTCGCGAGGACAAGCTAGAGGTGGCGATGCACGCGGCTTGGCTGGTAGGCGTTGTGGGAGATCCTGTGTACAGGCTATGCCGAGTGTGCGGCACGAAAGTCAACCCGGACACGGGCAAGTGCAAGCGAGCAGACACGAGCTCTTGCCCCAGCCAGCCGGACCTTGCCTTGAAAGTGCTGGCCACAGCGCACATTGCTGACTGGAGTGGCGCGGTGGAGAACGTGCTCATTCGCGGCGAGCAGTTGGCGGCTCTCGCCAGCGTGGACGACGAAGCCAAACTTGCGGAGCTGATTGCGGAGAAGGGAACGCAGGCGCTGTGCTTCAAGGGACCTTTTGATGTTCGACTAGCAACAGCTCCGAACATGACTCAAGGTCGTTCGGCGCGACAACCTGCGGAAACCACGCAAGTGGATGCGTCTCAGACCAGTGGCGCTTCCCAGACCGAGGCCGGCGTGCCCACGCAGGCTTCGCAGTTCCAGCTCCTAGCTGCGAGGCCTTGCCTTGGCAAACTCTACGACAACTCGGACCGGCCTATGGTCAAGAAGGTGATCCGCTTGGAAAGCCAGCGCGCGGAAGGCGCTGTGTTGCCAGTGGCAGATCCATATCGAGATCTCTCTTGCTCTGACTTGGGCATCGTCTTTCCTTGCGGCAACGTCTTTGCCTCCCACATCTCCATGCTGGCGGTCGCGAAGGATGACCCGGACATCAGAGAGGTTGACATCAACGGGGACAAGCATTTGGTGACATCCCACCATCATGTGGTGCCATTTCCGGAGATTGACGGCGCCAAGCCGTTTGCCGTGAGGCATTTTGCCACTTCAAGAACTGCCATCTCTTCAACATGGCTGATGGCGCCCCGCGCTTGCTTGTGGGAAAGCCGATCCAAGATTGCGACACAGACCTCATGACTTGCCATGTCGAGTGGATGGCCAGGGCAAATGACGATGTTGTTCGCTCTGTGGTCGCGGAAAGAGACGCGGTGTGCCACCTGCTAGGATTGAAGCCAGAGCTGGCCTCAAAAAAGCGCACGGCTGAGATGTTGGTTGCAAGCACGCCGTCAAAAGTGACGTGCTCTTCCTGGAGTGATGGCAGCTAAGGCTTGCAACGCGCCGGCGCTGCTCGGACAGACGCTGTCGTGCGGAACTCCGATGCACGCCGGGTTTTGCTGGCTTTTGCGAAGCTTTTAATCATGCAGACGGTCATACTTTTTGAAAGCGATCAACCGAGTGAGCGGAAAAAAAGGGTCGTGCGTCGCAGCCTGCGCCACTGTAGCAGCATGCCTCGCGTGCAGCACTTGGCCTCTGCGCATTGTGTTGCAGGCGCGCCTGCCGCGGGCCGCGCCCTGGCTCACTCCTCGCAAGTGACCATCACGACCATGACACGCTTGGTCCAATGGCTGCGTCCTGGCGCGTGGCTGAAAAACCACTGCGGGCTGTCCAGTACTTTTTTCCATTCGTACTCATGTTTGCAGCGGCTTCAGCCATTTTCCCCTAATTGGAACATGCTTGCGTTGATGGCAGCTTGACAACATGACATCATCAGCCCCAGCTCCTGCTTCTTCCCTCCTTGGACTCGCGCTTGCAGCCGGGCGGCGCGCTGGCGATCCAGCCATCGACGGCATCAGCCTGGATTGCTGCCGTGGCCTCCGCCTTCCGCAACAAGATCACGTCGCGCGGGCTGACGCGTGCTTTTGTTTCACTCAATGAACAGTGCTAACTTTTCCGGATGGGAAGGATTTTGCTTCAAGCATTTGGTATTTCGGACTCAGCAGCTCGCTGAGTGGATGTTGGCTCCCGCCAAACGCAGCAGCCATGGTCAGGATTTTGGAGCTTGATTGCATTCGAGCTTGCCAAGGTCTTGCAGTGTGTGCCGGAAGATGTGCCTTCAGATGTACGGAAAAAAAGGTATCCTGCAGCGTTTGGCCGACCTCGCTTGCGATGTTATGCTTTCGGGCCAACCGTGGTCTAGTTTAAAGATGGCCGAATGAGCTGGACCCATGCAACAGGAGTTCCACTTCAAGGGTAACCCTACAACCTAACCTTGCTGCTCAGGGAATGAGGGAAAGACCCCTACCAATCCCTTGTGGCTTCCTTGGGACTCGCTAGGCTTCTTTGAGTTGGGAGGTATGCCCTGAGCAGCGAGTAACGGCCCGGGCCGGACATCCAGGGAGGGCCCGTTCGTTTTTTGAGGCGCCCAAGCTGGAGCAAGATGAGCACCTCAGCGACAAAGAGAAGCACTCCCTCGAGGAGCAAAGAACGGGTTTCTGGATTCGTTGGGCTTGGGGTTGCCGTGTTTGTTTGGGGGTAATTCCCGATGATTGTTATTATTATCATTTTGGGGGGGGGCGGGGGAAACCGACAAGACGCCGCCCACTCTTTTGTTTGTTCTTTGGAGGGGGGAGGGGCACCTTTATTTCGGCACATACTCTTCATAACCTTGAACAGGGGTACTTGGAAAAGGACTGGCCCCAATGTGGCTACCATTCTCAAAGTCACCCCCAAGTGGTGGCGCAAAGTGAAAAAAACCACGCACTTTGAGGTTTCCACGGCCCGCTTGCCAACCATCCCAACCAAAAAACGCGGGCGTTCCTCTTGATGTCTTTGTATTTTTCGTTTCCGGAGTTTCCTTTTGGCTCCAGTTTGAGTGAAACGCCCCCCCTTGCCCGAAGGTGGAGTGCCGTCTAGTTCCTCTTGGTTTTCATTCTGTTTGCTTTGATTTCCCTTGGTTTCTTTTACCCTTCATCCATTCGAAAGGGTGCTCCCAATTCTTGGAAGCGCCCAAGGAGCAAGGCGGGTCAATATTCGGTTGACCAGACGGAAGCGAAAAGGGCCCTTTTGTGGTGAATCATGCTCTCAGGCAAATGGAAGCAAACACCTTGCGCCCAACTGAGCGAAAGAGAGGCAACCAGCTTGTGATGGCTTCACCACGGGCCCCACAGGTAAGCCCCCGCGGCAAACGACCAGGGGCATTCCACCAACTGCAACTGCGTGGCCCGTCTTGAACCAGGTTGTCAAGCACACACGAGCCAGCTTGGCGGGGGACGCAAGACTCCAAAGAACGGGGTAGATCATGAGCAAACGTGAAGAAACATGGGCACCGTTTTACTCTTCTTTGTCCCACTGTCCCGGAATCCTTTGGGCATCCCATCATGGGCCGTTCTTGGGCGCTCCTTGAGCCACACAGCTTGGTTTCCCTGCCATGGACGCTGGTTTCAGATGTCAAGAGCTTTTTTTTTCGCCAAAAAAAGCTGTGTTTCACATGTCAAGTTGCCGCAACTCTTCAAAAGCACGGCCAATTTGTTTTGACCTGGGCTCCCTTTGCAGGAAACTACAGATGCTCTACTTTTCTTCTATTGGGTTTTTTTGGGAAATCAGGGTGGTTTCCACTAAACTCACAAAAAATGGTCCAATGTTGTCCACTTTTTGCAGGGGGGGTCGTTGCAGCAACCAAGTCTAGAAGGGTCATTCCATGTCTCATGCCTCTCTCGCAGCGTTGACGCCCCGTGAGGAGCAGGTGGCCAAGCTGAAGCGGCGCCATGAGGACGCGGAGCTCAAGGCGGTGGTGGGGGGTTTGGCCCGGGAAGGCGATTGGAGGTCTTTGGGTCATTTGGATGGGTCATTTGGACGGGGTAACCCCAAAATGGGTTCCCTTGCCAAATGGAAGCCAGGACTTTATTTTTACCTGTGCCTTTCTGGTGGCTTCAGTTTTGAGCGTGCTCCTTTTTGTTACTTGGACCTTTGTCATCCCGACCACAAATATGGTTTGGTACGCAAAACATAGTCTGCCGCAGAGGGTCTGTAGGGCCGGATCGCGATTCGGTGGCCTCCTTAGCCCTGCCTAAAGCCTGTGCTGAAGGCAATTATTCGAGGGGTTGATTCCTTGTCCATTCTTTCCAAGCATCGTTCTTTTCGAAAACCGGATCCGTTTCCCGTTTCTGGAGGTTCTCTAGAAAGAAGGATCCATTTTTAAACAGGGCTCTCTGCGGTGGCTTTGAGCTTCAGGCCCTCAAAAACACGTGTTCAGAATCCCCCTCCAAAATTGAGGAGACAACCTTCCACCTGTTCCCCTATACACAATCCCCCCCACAAAAGTGAAACAAACTCCGGTTTCCATTTCACCCACAAGAGTTCTCAACTTTTTTGCGGGGCATCAGAAAACGGGCAGCCCAGTTCCAAGAAGCGCCGCCTCGTCAGCGCCGCCCGCCGGCTCGCTCCGCCAGAACCAGCGCCGCATCGTGGAGCTGCTGGAAGCCAGCGGGGGTTCCCCGAGTCAGCGACGTCGGGCGGGCGGATGCCGGGCGTCGGAAGCCACGGAGGTGCCTTACAACTCAGTAGGTGTCCAATTTCTGGTTCTTTTGGTAGAAGAATAGAGGGGTTTCGATTCCTGGTTTATTGGGTTTAATCATCTACCAGGGAAACCCATCTGTTTCCAACCTAAAAGGACACTTATGCTTACAACTCATAGCCACGTAGGAACGGTATCTAGTTCCCGCCAGGTGGGAGGGTTGCCCTACTGAAATAGACTACCGAAAGAACAGGGTACCTATTCTATCCTCTCTAAAGGACCTGGGTATCGAAGCCTTGCCTGTTTGGGGCGTGGTGGTCCATCTCCCTAGGTTTAAAAAAACAACGTTCGGCCATGCGAGGAAACCTATGAAGCGAAGCACCGTGACCCACAGGTTTTTTTTTGAGACCGGGTGTTGGTGGGGATGGAGCACCCCTTCTGTTTTTTTTTGGCGGAGTTTTGGCTCCGGACGTTAAGGCAATGGCCAAACCACAGAGGTAGAAGCTTGGCGTTGGGTCCTTTGGTCTTTCAGGGTCCAAAGTTGGACCCTTGTGATAGTGTACAACCCATATGAGTGGTGGCTCAAATTTGCCGAGGGGTTACGCAGGTTTTAGTCGTTGGCTCCATGGCCATTTTGGTGCTCCGTTTTTTGAGCCAACTGCCATCTGGGTGTGTCTTCTTTTAGGGGCCCCCCAAAATGGTGGTGTTCCTTTGGGTGTCCCTTTAAACCAACCCGAAAGCGGGTACCCACAAAGAAAGACAGACACATAGATCCCCACTGATTTTGGGGTAGGGCTTTGGATCATTCTAGGGGTTGATTCCAACCATTCTTGTCAACCATCGTTCTTTTCAAAAACCGGATCTGTTTCCCAAGGTTTTTGGGCGGTTTTTTAGAAAGGATGCTTGGACAGACTGGAAGAGGAAGGTACCCCTAGAATCATGTGGCCATGGGGCACAACCTATGGCTCCATGTTGGGGTGGATGAACATCCATTTGCCAGCTATTTCGATGTTCACCAGGGCTTTCCTGGGTTTTGAGCCGACTGCAACTGAAGAAGCTCCCGTGCAAAAAAAGGCAACTTGACTACCCCACATGTGCCGCAACCCTTGACCGCTCATTGATAAATAGGAGCCCCACTGATTTTGGGGTAGGGCTTTGGATCATGGCCATAGGTGTCCTTTCTGCTTGTTTTGCGCGAAAAACCGATGGGTTGCGATCCCTGGTTTTACTCATCCGGAAAATTTAAAACCCATCTATTTCCAACCTAAAAGGACACCTGTGATCATGGCCCCCCCCAACCGGCCCCCCCCCCCCCCGAAACCGCCATCATGCACGGGTCGTGTCCGAGGCAACGGGCAGCAGCAGGCCCTCGACGAGGCGCAGCGCGCCGTGCGGGCCTACCAGCGCCTCGGCTGTTGTGGTGTCCAGGGGTCCGAAGGTGACTCCAGGGATATATATATATATATATATAGAGATACATATATATATATATACATATATTTATTTATTCATATACACGTACACATTCATATATACATATGTATGCATATATATATATATGTATGTGTATATATTCAATTGAAGGTTTCTCAAAAAATAGTGGTCTTTTATGGCAAGGGCGTCCCGTTGATGTCCATTTGAAGATCAGAAGAGGGTCCCCGATCGGGTTTTGGCTATCCAAATTCAAAGGGCGAAGCACGTCCCACCTGGAGTTCTGTTGGCACGTAGGGATACATGGGGATCCATGAGCTTTTCCCTTAAGGATCAGGAAAGGACGTCTTCTTTCAATTTGCGAGGGCCTCTTCATTTTCGGGGTCAACAAATACATCCAAGACTTACCTGGCCTTAACTCAGCTGGAGGTGGTCTTCTATGGGCCCAACTGGGGAATTCTGAGTGCGGGCAAAAAACGTATGGATTGCGGTACTTCAATGAAACTCGAGCCGAGCTGAAACCAATCGAACCCTGTCTGTGCTCAACCAAACAACGATGCAACCTTACCCCAGGGCCGCCCCGGACCAGCCTGTCTGGGCTGAGACCCCAAAGCTTCCAGCTGGGGAAAAACGAAACCACAAAGCCTTTGGCTTCCTTTGTGGTCACCTTCTGGCGTCCTTTTGGTTTCGCTTCTGGTGTCCTTTTGGTCTTCCCGTGTCTTTCAACCTTTTGGTCTCCAACCAAGGGGCACTCAAACAAAAGGTCAACCAGGAGAGTCGCCTTCCTTCTGCTTTCGGCGTCTCATTGATGCAAACCCGTGTCGTCAAACATTGGTACCCTTGGCATTGTCCGCCCTCGGGGAAGCCGGGCCTCAATTCTGTGAGCATCTGATCTCTGCACAAAGGGGAGGTTTCCTTTCCTCTTGTGTGCCCAGGGTTGCAGGAAAATGTTGCCACCTCACTCAGCCAATTTAAAGCGAGCCTGTTTTTGGCGGGGGGTTGGTCAAAGGCTTAAGGATTCTTTTTGTGACCCTCACAAATTCGGACCCCCCTCCCACGAAAGAAGACAAACAACACCCGTGGGAGATTCGCTCCAAGCCTGAGCCCACGGTTTTCCTTGCCGTGTTTGCCCGTCCAAGCGGAAGGCAACCTATGGTATCCATGTGGCTTTGTAATGTTTGAGGCTGCCGAGTTTTGGTTGGCATCCCTTGAGCAGGAGGGCCAGAAAAAAAATGCGGGGCCCCTTCGTGGCCCCATCTCGGCCCCTTTCCGTGCTTCGAAGCTGAGGCTCAACTTCACGGAGCTCAGCTTCAAGGTGCAGGAGCGTCTTCGGACACCCCGGGCTGAAAAAGCAAGTGCCCCGCAAATGCCAGCTTTCGAGGATTCCCGGGTGAAGCCGGCGGTTTTTGGATGCATGCTTGAAGGAACCCTGATACACGGGTTCTGATCACTTGCAGCAAAGGACACGCATCCGAAAGGAGCCCATTGACGTATGAACCCGTTCAACGGGTCACCCAACAGTTGCGTTTGTAGGATTCCTGTCTCCTTGAACGCATGTCGCAGCGATTGGCAGCGATTGGCAGATCTAAGGATTTGTTTGAACCTTGATTTCTAGAGGGAACGTTCTGTCAAACGTGTTAACTTTTAGCTACTGCACTTGAACCACTGCACCGCCAACGACCGCTAGGGCAACACTTGGGGTGGACCTTCGTTGCAGCATGTTGAAAGTCTTCTTGCGTATTCTCAAAATGGTCCAAAGGAAGCTGGGCATAGGTCCATAGGGGAGCGATCCCTATGTGGAGAAGCCCCCCCTCTGCCAAAAAAAATACACGAAGCGCTCAGAGGCAACTCTGCACCGAAAAGGTTGTGTCGTTGCCACGAGAACCCTCCTGGGTGCTGAATTTCAGCCGAAAGGGTGTCCTGCACTTCAAAGATAAGAACAGTTGGCCTTCTAAACAAGCCTTTTGCAGACAAGGAAACCAGCACTTGGAGCTGCTGTGGATGGACGAAATCCTGCACCACCTCAGAGACCCTGGAAGGATGATTCCCTTGTAAATACCAACCAAGAATGGTTTCCCATGGTTTCCAAGTGGTGTCGGATTTTGTCCATCTGCAGTATGTCCAGGGAAATCAGATAAGACCTGGTTGAACAAATCCTGGATTTCAACCCAAAGCAATTGTCTGGATTCTATGATTTAAACATGGGGGTTGCTCAAAAGAAAGGGGTCAGCCCGCCCCATGTCACCCTCCCTGGCTTGGACCATTTTCCTTTTAAAGGGACAAAGGGTCCCGAACGTCAGGTTCCAAGAAGTAGTTCTTGCTTGCTCACCCTCTCTGGAGAACATCTATCGAGACTTCTTTGAGGAAGCCTCTGGTAGGGCCCGGAACCGCCCCAAACCCAATTGACAGGTGGAGACATCTCGCTCCGGTTTTCACCTTTTCTCTTCAGCTACTCTTCGGGCGTCGATTTCGCGCGCTGCGCTGCGTTAGGGAGGCTTTCTTGGTGAGCTTTCCTCTCACCCTCTCTTTTGAAGACCATCTATCAGGACCCCTTGAAAATGGAACCCTCTGGAGGTTAGGGCGACTCCACGTGCCCACACCTCGGACTCGGGGGGTTTTCGGGAGGAGCTGGAGACCAAGCGCCAGTCCAGTGAGCTCCGGGCGGCGGCCCGAGCTCACCGAGAGGAAAGCCTGCGTCCACTAAAAGACACAGACGCACACACCCATTTCTAGCTTCATTTTCTTGTTGTAGGGTGGAAAATGCCAATTGGGAGATTCCCTCCTCCCCCCAAAGGTAGCTGGGACACCACTAGACCTGGAACTTGCTTGCAGCCTTTTTTTGAAGCAATGCCTGTGTAGATCGTTGGGGAGGTTTTCTTCCTCTAGAAAACCAACTTTCTAGTCGCTTTTCGATCCGAGCAACCAAGTTCTAGCCTAGCTGTGCTTGTCCCATTATTGCCAAGGATCCTCCTTCTTGCCCAGGATCCTTCTGTTCGCTGGGGTCAGTTTCGGGCAGATTGGAGAGGTTTCTCGAACGAACCTCAACCTGGTATTTTCAACGGGCATCGCTTTTCCGCTTTGAGTGGCACAGCGCATTTGGGCTTTCCATGTGGACAAACAACCCCAGTTCACATGACTTTCCGTCTTTTTTTTTCAAAAGCAAATGAGGTTCAATAAAAACAAGTAGTCTATGCTCAATTTGGGGTTCGGCACATGGGGGCTCACCATTTCCCACAAAAGCCAAGCAACATTTAATATTTGTTCCATGCCCGCAAAGTGCTCGCACGGTCACTCACACGGCCCATACGGGTTCCTTTTGTTTGTGGGGCTACTTGCTACCGCGAACACCAATAAGCGGTACAGGTACCGGTGCCAAATCGGACAGTCACGCCAGGGTATTTGTCACGAGAGACCCCAGGAACCCCACAACCCTTGCAGACAGGTTTTCCGAACTCTTCTAGGAACCCCTGCTTAGTGCTGTTGTTTTGCTTTTCCCGTGGGGGTTTCGCTGCATGGCAAGGGCGCTGAGCGGACTCTTTGACTTTCCAGGGGTACCATCGTTCATTTCGAAAGCCAGGCGTTTCCCTTATCTTCGACCAACCCCAAAAAGAAAGAATCTCTATTATAAAAAAAAATCGGGGAACTTCGCTTGCTGCACGGCTGCATGGTGCCCCCAAGCATGTTTAGGGTTTAGGCTCTAAACGATTACTAGCCTCCCATCATCACTAAGATTGGAACATAGCATGGAACCACGAACACAGGTTGTCAAACGAGGCTCTCCACGTGTGTTTGCCATCGGTTAAGTTGAACCCTAAATTCAACAAAGTGAACGACAGATCGGCGCCTCAGCCACTGGTTAACAGGGTTCGCCATACTTTCAAGCAACCATTCAAGGTGAGTTTGCTTCTGGGGTGCAACAGGGAATCCTCGATTTTCCGTTTTGGAACCTCCAAAAGTGGCGATGGTTTCGACACCGGGGAAATCCCTTCGTTCTTTGGCAGGCCGCGGACGCCAAAGACAGGGCTGCTCGGAGCCCCGAAAATCACCTTTCGGAACAGATCGAAAGTTCTAGAGGGAGGCTCCCCATTGAAACGCTATTTGAGGCACAGCAGAACTGTCCTGCTTGGGCCTTCTCTTGAAATACGTCCCCCTCCCAAAAACAAGTTGAAGAATGGGGCACCATCTCTAGGGTCGTTGCAATCACCGTTCTTCACGAACACCGGTCGTTTCCCCTGACTTATTGGTTTCTGGAAAGAGGAATGGGGAAGTTACCTGCATTTTTTCGTCTTATTGGGAGGCTAGAGAGTATAAGGACACAAATCTAGAGCAGGTGCCCTTTCTCACCCCTTTGTTGGCTGGGAGGGTTCCCTGCTAAAATAGACTACAGAAAAGAAGTTGGAACCCTTATTCTAACCTTTCTGCTGGAGGACCTAGATGGAATCTCTTTCCGGGCATGTTATTCTGCTGTTCCAACAGCATGGGTTCCACATGGCATCACATGACGCTCATGTTTAGCGCCCACTGTGGCACTTTCTTAGAGCTTGCTTCCCTTTCTATGTGGTTACACCAGCGGGTGGTTCCCAGACCCAAAGGAGGTGGTTAAGCCATCGTTTTATCCAAAGTCAGGTGAATCCGCACCTAGCCAAACGAGGCTGAAGTAGATCATGCTAAGGGGAACCTCTGAGTACGGTCCTCCTGAATGCGAAGTTGACACTCCTTTACTTGTGCGGTTTTGATTGTTGCTCTGGCAGTCGGTGCCTCCCTGGTGCTCCCCTGCTGTCAACGTGTGTGTGTAAAACTAGGGCCCCCCCCCCCGCCCCGCCCCCCCAGCAAAAAAAAGAGAGAAAAGAACAGATGCTGGTGTGGCCCCCTGGTTTCCTTTCCCATTTTCTTAAGAATGTATAAGAATATATTCTATTGTCCCCTGTTGGTTGAGGAGAATCTATTGCCGGAGATCACTTCATGTTTTGCTGGGCGCGATTTTTCGCCCAGCCTGTCAATGCGAGGATCGCTTGCACCAAGAGATGCAGGAAGCGGAGATCGAGGCCGGGCCGGCTCCGCGATGGAAGCCTTGTGCAAGATGTGTTGCAACAAGCATTTCCTGAAATCCCTGAGATGGACCTTTGAATCTTGGGATGTTCAGTTGGAGGTGTCTTTTTTTTTTTTTTTTGGGGGGGGGGGGGGGGGGAACCCCTCCCCCCCAACAAAATTAGCAGAGGAGAGGGTTGTTCTTTTGGTTTCCCATTTACAACCAACGAGCAAGGGGTACCCAAAACAACGACAGACCCAAGGTTTGGCCTCGTTTGGAGCACCGAGTGCAGCCGAGTGCTCAGACAAAAACATTTTGAGGAGCTGGCTTGAGGGGCGCCAAATCTTTGCATGTTGCCAAGGGATGTTAGGGCTTTAACTTTTGCCAACTAGTGGGTTTTCCAATTAAACCACAAACAGTTAAAAACTTGTAGCAGGGGAGCAGCTTTCGCAACCGAGAGATGTAAAAGACATGGAGGTCATTTCTGTACAGGAGTCATGAAAAGGGGGTGGATGTTTTTTGTTTCTTCCAGATGCCTCACATTTGAGAGAACCTTTTGGCATCTTTTGGCAAACGTTTCGGGAAACAACATGACAATTGCTACCTATTTAGCCCCTGGGTAGTTTGTGCGTTGTGTGCCTCCCTCGGGTTTGGGCAAACCCCCGGGGCGCAAACCTCGAATCACCTCAGCAAACATAGGGCATACCAGTATGTACCCACATGACCACTCTATACAGCGTATACATACGTGTTTACAAATACATACATACATACATGCATACATACATACATACATACATACATGCATGCATGCATACATACATACATGCATACATGCATACATGCATACATGCATACATGCATACATGCATACATGCATACATGCATACATGCATACATGCATACATGCATCCATCCATCCATCCATCCATCCATACATACATAGATACATACATGCATACATGCATCCGTCCATCCATCCATCCATACATACATAGATACATACATACATACATACATACATACATACATACATACATACATACATACATACATACATACATACATACATACATACATACATACATACATACATACATACATACATACATACATACATACATACATACATACATACATACATACATACATACATACATACATACATACATACATACATACATACATACATACATACATACATACATACATACATACATACATACATACATACATACATACATACATACATACATACATACATACATACATACATACATACATACATACATACATACATACATACATACATACATACATACATACATACATACATACATACATACATACATACATACATACATACATACATACATACATACATACATACATACATACATACATACATACATACATACATACATACATACATACATACACATACACATGCATGCATGCATGCATACATGCATACATGCATGCATGCATACATGCATGCATACATGCATACATGCATACATGCATATGCATACATGCATGCATACATGCATACATGCATACATACATACCTACATACCTACATACCTACATACCTACATACCTACATACCTACATACCTACATACCTACATACCCACATACCTACATACCTACATACCTACATACCTACATACCTACATACCTACCTGCCTACATACCTACCTACCTACCTACCTACCTACATACATACATATATATATATATACACATACACATATACATATATACAAATACATGTATAGCACATAACTATATATATTTTAACGCCTCCGGCTCAGGCCGCCAACATTACAGGCCTGCTTTCTTATTTGCGTCCCTTTGGAATTGTCCCCTTGCCCCCCTTCCCCTCTGAGATCTTTGCCCCCCTTTCCCTGTTGAGATCCTTTCCCCCTTTCCCCCCTAAGGCCTTTTCCCCCCTGAGATCTTCTCCCTTTTCCTCCCTAAGATGTTTTCCCCCCTTTCGCTGTTGAGATCCTTTCCCCCCTTTCCCCCCTAAGGCCTTTTCCACCCTGAGATCTTCTCCCTTTTCCTCCCTAAGATCTTTTCCCACCTTTCTCTATTGAGATCCTTTCCCCCCTGTCCGCCCTAAGGCCTTTTCCCACCCTGAGTTCTTCTCCCTTTTCCTCCCTACGATCTTTTCCCCCCTTTCCCGCCTAAGATCCTTTCCCCCGTTTCCCCCCTAAGGCCTTTTCCCCACAAGATCTTCTCCCTTCTCCTCCCTACTTTCCCTGTTGAGATGCTTTCAAGGCCTTTTCAGGTCTTCTTCCTTTTCCTCCCTAAGATGTTTTCCCCCCTTTCCCTGTTGAGATCCTTTCCCCCCTTCCCCCTAAGGCCTTTCCAGATCTTCTCCCTTTTCCCCCTTTCCCTGTTGAGATCCTACCCTTTCCCCCCTAAGGCCTTTCCCCTTCCTGAGAGCTTCTCCCTTTTCCTCCCTAAGATCTTTCCCCCCCCCCCCCCCCCTTCCCTGTTGAGATCCGTTCCCCCCTTTCCCCCCTAAGGCCTTTCCCCCCCTGAGATCTTTTTCCTTCCTAAGATCTTTTGCCACCTTTCCCTGTTGAGATCCTTTCCCCCCTTTCCCCCCTAAGGCCTTTTTTCCCCCCGGGATCTTCTCCCTTTTCCTTCCTAAGATCTTTTCCCGCCTTTCTCTGTTGAGATCCTTTCCCCCCCTTTCCCCCCTAAGGCCTTTTCCCCCCAAGATCTTCTTCCTTTTCCTCCCTAAGATGTTTCCCCCCTTTCCCTGTTGAGATGCTTTCCCCCCTTTCCCCCCTAAGGCCTTTCCCTTCCTGACATCTTCTCCCTTTTCCTCCCCAAGATCTTTTCCCCCGGTTGAGATCCTTTCCCCCTTTCCCCCCGAGATCTTCCTCCCTAGGATCTTTTCTCCCTGTCCCTGTTGAGATCCTTTCCCCCCCTTTCCCCCCTTAAGGCCTTTTCAGATCTTCTCCCTTTTCCTCCCTAAGATCCTTTGCCCCCTTTCCCTGTTGAGATCCCTTCCCCCTTTCCCCCCTAAGGCCTTTTCCCCCCCTGAGATCTTAAGGCCTTTTCCCCCCCTGAGATCTTCTTGCTTTTCTATCCTTTCCCCCTTTCCCCCCTAAGGCCTTTTCTCTGAGATCTTCTCCCTTTTCCTCCCTAAGATGGTTTCCACCCTTTCCCTGTTGAGATCCTTCCCCCCCCCCTTTCCCCCCTAAGGCCTTTTCCCCCCAAGATCTTCTTCCTTTTCCTCCCTAAGATCTTTTCCACCCTTTCCCTGTTTATATCCTTTCCCCCCCTTTCCCCCCCTAAGGCCTTTTTCCCCCTGAGAGCTTCTCCCTCTTCCTCCCTAAGATCTTTTCCCTGTTAGCATTTTTTCCACCAGATCTTCTCCCTTTCCTCCCTAAGATCTTTTCCACCCCTTTCCCTGCCCAGATCTTCTCCCTTTCCTCCCGAAGATCTTTCCCCCCCTTTCCCTGTTGCGATCCTTTCCCCCGTTTCCACCCTGGGGCCTTTCCCCTCCTCCCTTTTCCTCCCTGAGATCTTTTGCGACCTTTCCCTGTTGAGATCCTTCCCCCCCTTTCCCCCCTAAGGCATTTTTTCCCCCCGAGATCTTCCCCCTTTTCCTTCCTAAGATCTTCTCCCCCCTTTCCCTGTTGAGATCCTTTCCCCCCCTTCCCCCCTAAGGCCTTTTCCCCCCAAGATCTTCTTCCTTTTCCTCCCTAAGATCTTTTGCCACCTTTCCCTGTTGAGATCCTTTCCCCCCCTTTCCCCCCTAAGGCCTTTTCCCCCCAAGATCTTCTCCCTTTTCCTTCCTAAGATCTTTTTCCCCCCTTTCCGGTTGAGATCCTTTCCCCCCCCCCCCCCCCCCCTCCTTCCCCCCCCCTCCCCCCCAGTTCCCCCCCTAGAATCTTTTTCCCCCCTTTCCCCCGAAGATCTTCATTTCCCTTCACTTTCCTCACTTCGACTCATGTCCCTTTATGTCTGTTTTTGTTCCCTTTCTTTCATTTCACTTCATGTCATTCATTTCCATGCATGTTCCATCATTTTCCTTCACCAGCATGGGCAACATTCCCAGCATCACTTGCATCATCCGTATCCTTCGCCGGCGCTGATGCGGATGATGCAGGTGATGCTGGCGATGTTGCCCAGGAGATGCTAAGGATGCAAAAACGGACCCAATGTTTTTACGCGCAGCCCCCAAAAGAAAGGATTTAGTGGAACGTCTTGGAATCACTGCGTGGTACGTGGACCCCCCGAAGAAACAGTTAAAGAGGTAAGGAGCATTTCTTATGTCCAACACCCGCCTGTTGTCGGCGGATATACACTCGTTTGCATGTTGTGATATCCAACACTCCCTTGCTACTATTTAGCAACCTGGGCATCCTTTAGATTTCCCTTTGCGAAAGGGTACAGAGCCTCAACCGAAACAAGCCCATGAACTGGTTTGTAGCCACCCTATTGAACCAAGAACCACCATTAACCACCATTAACCACCATCTAGCCACCATTTCACCACTGCACAACCACTCTATAGCCAGCTCGCAATACTCGGTGGTTTCCAGCAAGTAAGTTCCTCATGGTTTCGTGGGGTTTCCGAATCTCACCCACAAGTTTGTCACTAGGGGATGTTGAAATGGCCCCTACCAACCATCCATCCTATGGTTTGATTTATCCAACAACCAGGGGAACAAACTTCCGAATCCAATCCAAAGAATCCAATCCAATCCAAAGAATCCAACGAAATCCCCAATCCAATCCAAACCGAAATTTCCCATTTGCCCAACAACCAGGGCAACGAAAACCCGAATCCAATCCAAAGCCAAGGGCTTCCTCCGCGCCCTCCTCCGAACTCCGCCAACGCCGCAACCGAAATCCGCCCGAAATCCGCACGTCTCTCGGGCGAGGTGCAGCGACACAAGGCCCGGGCGGAGGCGGCGGAGCAGGAGGCGAAGATGCACCAGGAGGCGGATGCGTTCAACGGGCGGGCCATTGAAACAAAAACTCAGAGCTGTTCAAAGCGAATCGACCTTTTGTTTTTCCAATTTTGGTCCGTATTTAGTCATGACCCCAAAAGGTTAACCGTTTAGTTCCAGGTCCTTCGGGCAAGTGAGAACAGCCATCTATCTATCAAACTAATCGATACGGATGGAAGGATGAAGCAGGCAGTAGCTTTGGGCCATTCTGCATTTGGGTTCGTGCCTTGTATCAGTTTTCTTTTGGCGGGGGGCTTGTCCAATCCACCCGGGTGGTTCTGTGTCGTTTGCTCCTTCCAGTTTTCTTGGTGGCTCCCAGCCATCCGGTTCCTTAGCTTTTTCCTTTTAAGGCTGTAGTGGTAGTTTCCATTTAACCCACCAAAAGTTAAAAAACTTTTGGCGGGGGAATCTGAGGGCAGCCCAGAAAAGCATGCTCAAATGTGGTTTTGAAGGGAATCTACTGGAAAGAAATATCGTAATTTGTTCCATGTTGCACATGGAGGCTTGGAACCGTCCGTCGCAAAGGGAAGCCACGCAAGGTTTTCTCTAGCTTCCCTTCAGCCCATTGGGGCTTCTGAAACTTCCCCAGAATTAGCTCCATCCTTTCTTTTTTTTTTTTGTGGGGGGGGTTCTCTTTGTTTTCCACTCACCAGGCATTTTTGTTTTCTAAAGTCCTAATTCCAGCCAGGTAAAGTGGTTGCATTTCCAGGGCTTCTCGGAATTTCTTCCGGGTCCGCTGGTGAGACGATGTTTGTGAGGATACTTCCCACAGAAAGGGCTATTCCCCACTATGGAAACTGCCACGCGAACCCGATCCATGTGGGAAGCAAGCTGTTTGCCCCGTAGCGCAGAGAGTAGGTTTCGCTCAGTGTATGCTTTCGGGCCACCCGTTCTTCCAGTGGTTTCCCTTCAAACCCGACCCAAAAAGGTTACCCTCAAAAAGGCGCACCCATATCCATGTCCATTTCAAATCCAGTGACCTCGCAAGGCGGGTTGCAACCTTCCCTAAGGTTTGGATGCTTTTCGTTTTTACTAAAAAAACGCCTCAGCGCTCGATGGATCAGTACTCACCCAGCCATCCTCGGGTTGCCCCCTTACGTGCGAATTTTTATGTGGAATGTACAGCTAAGGTCCAGGTTCAAGAATCATAGCGAAGCATACCCATGTGGTTACACAGGGCTCCTGAAAAGATCGATGCATTTTGCAACCAATTGATGTCCATGGTGCTTTTTCAACACCAAAACAAAGGGAAGCCACCATTTACAAGTTGCAATGTTCAGCTGTATAGTCGAAGGATCCCTGTTACATAGGGGGCATAGTTCGGAAATCCACCCAGGTACTGCGTCAGGAAATCCAAAGAATAACGCCTACTTTGTCTTTTTCTAGGCCGACTCCCCCCCTCCCGCAAAACAAAACAGGGAGGTGTCTGAAGTTTCGCAATGCTTTGCTTTAGCACCCTAGAAAGAATACCGGGTGCAAGATATCCAGCACCTAAACAAAGCCGGCCGTTTCTGGAAACATTTGGATCCCTCGGCCTCCCCAAATGTGGACCCTGTCGCCCCGCGCCTTTTGAGGGGGATACCAAAGATACAGACTAGGCATCCTGGTCCCCTTTTCTTGGGGGAGGGTTCCAAGTTCCAACCTACTAAAATAGACCACAGAAAAAAAGTTGGTACCCTTGCTCTAACCTCTCAAATCTGGAGGACCTAGTCTTGGTTGCCAACGCGTTTTGGCGAGTTTCTTTTTTGCTTGTGGGGTGTGTAGTTGAGTGGACCCTATCGGTAACTTATCTAGTTTGGAGACGGGAGTGGCTGTCCTTCGGGTGCTGGGACCTGAAAAGTCGCAAACTTTCGGCAGGTGGTGAGGCGCCATGAGGCGCCTGGTTGTCCTGTCGAAGCGGACTCGCTCTGTGGGTTGCTGGGCTTCAGTCACGTGCAGGGCTCCTTAAAAGATCGATCCATTTTGCAACCATTTGACACATGTTGCCTTTTCGACTACAAAATATAGTTGGAGTTGCCACCATTTACAAGTTGCAATGTTCAGGTGTATAATGTTAGGATCCCTGTGGGTCACGACTTTTAGTGGTAAAGGAAGTCCAGCTTGGGGTTTCTGTGCTTGGCCTTCGTGGGCGGGTGGACTTCTATTCATCAGACTTGGCTTGTCCTTTTTGCACTCCTGCCTTCTAGGGGTCCCTTCATTTCTTGTCAACTGGATTTTGCCGGGGCCAAGAGCATGTAGCCTTTGTCCGACTTTTCGGAGGTCTGAGAGATGAGTTTCAGAACAAGTTGGGTTGGGAGGAAGATTAGCGTGTGGGTGTCAACTTTTTATTTGATTTCTGGAACCCCTTTTGGGTTGGTGTCAAAAGGAACCCCAAAGGAAACACAACTTTTGGTTTCTCCCCTAATTTTGAGACAACGCCATGTTGGTTCGTTTCTACAATGTCAACTTCGGACTCCGTAGGATTCTATTTGCCAGAGGAGGCCTAAAATTGATCATTATCTCAGCCACCCGCCTAGTGCGATTTCGCGGATGAATCTGAAGTTAATATAACATGTGTTGCACCCATGTACGAATTTGTGGACTTCCTTGAAACGCCCCTCCGGGCTGGCCCCGGGTTATGTGCCACCTGGTTGTTTGTCAGGAGTTCAATGCTACCAGGCGATCGGTTTTTGCGCGGTGTTCCCATCGGCTTTGCAGGTTGACGTCGTTTTTGTTGGTGCTTGTCCTGTCGGGGTATTTGGCCGGATTTGTTGGCTCTAAACCGCCTCCTAGCCCACCAACTCCAAGTCCGCGGTTCTTTCAGGAGGGCCAGCAGAATCGCAAGGACGAGGCGGGATGTGAGTCTATGCCGCTGATCGATGCACATGGTTGAATCCATTTGGGGCGAGATGTCTTGTTATATATGAATATATATTATATATATTTGCGTGTCTATGTTGCTCCTTTGGTTCTTGGTTCCGTTGGGGAGATCGGCAGACCTGATTCGACAAGCTCGGTTAGGTTAGATTAAGTCCGATGGACCGATTAGATTAGATAGATTCATAGCTACATAGATAGGTTGATGGACAGAATCCATTCGATCACATTAGATAGACATATGGGCAGTCTAGCTTAGACTAAAGTAGATTAGATGGAAAGATGGACATTAGACTAGCTTAGGTTAGCTTAGGCTAGATTGAAAGATGGATAGATTTGTTTAGATTAAATAGATCGATTAGATTAGTTGATTAGATGGGAGTAGTTTAGATTAGATTATATTAGACAGGTAAATAGATAATTAAATATATATATATATATATATATGTATATATATATATATATACGGAGAGAGAGAGAGAGAGATCGGTCGAAAATTGATAGACCGAAAGATGAGAGAGAGAGTGTGTGTGAGACATGTGGAGAACTAGATAGATAGACAGACAGACAGACAGATAGATAAGATAGATAGATAGATAGATAGATAGATAGATAGATAGATAGATAGATAGATAGATAGATAGATAGATAGATAGATAGATAGATAGATAGATAGATAGATAGATAGATAGATAGATAGATAGATAGATAGATAGATAGACATAGATATAGATATAGCACGATAGATCTATAGGGAGACAGAGATAGATAGATGATATTGACAGACGACCTTGATAGATCGGTAGAAGCGAGATATAGTTAGATAGACAGATAGGTAGGTAGATAGACAAACAGATAGATAGATAGGTAGAGAAATGGAGAGCTGGATAGATAGAGAAATAGAGAGATAGATCAAATAGATGAGATTGGATTAGATTAGATTAGATGAGCTAAACAGATAGGAGAGATAGATAGATAGACACAAAGAAAGATGGACACACAGGACAGACAGACAGCCAGACAGCCAGTCAGCCAGACAGACAGACAGCCAGACAGCCAGTCAGCCAGACAGACAGACAGCCAGCCAGCCAGCCAGCCAGGCAGGCAGGCAGGCAGGCAGGCAGGCAGGCAGAGAGAGACCGACCGACCGACCGACCGACAGACAGACAGACAGACACAGACAGACACAGACAGACACAGACAGACACAGACAGACACAGACAGACACAGACAGACACAGACAGACACAGACAGACACAGACAGACACAGACAGACACAGACAGACACAGACAGACACAGACAGACGCAGACAGACACAGACAGACACAGACAGACACAGACAGACACAGACAGACACGGACAGACACAGACAGACACAGACAGACACAGACAGACACAGACACAGACAGACAGACACAGACAGACAGACACAGACAGACAGAGACAGACAGACAGAGACAGACAGACAGAGACAGACAGACAGACAGAGACAGACAGAGACAGACAGAGACAGACAGAGACAGACAGAGACAGACAGAGACAGACAGAGACAGACAGAGACAGACAGACAGACACAGGCGGACACGGACAGACACAGACAGACACAGACAGACACGGACAGATACAGACAGACACGTGGTTGAGGCCGTTGGCCGGCGCTCACCTCCAACCCATGTTGACCAAGTTTGCTCCTTCTGGATCTGCACTATAACGGAGCTAGATGAGCAGCGTCAGGCATGATTTTTCGGGCTGGGTTGAAACGAGAACAACGCCAAAACGTTCATGTTGCTGATGTAAGAACGATCTGCAAACATGATCAATTCACTGCATCAGGTTCTTTCGCTTTCTGCTGCCAGCCGAAGTTTTGCATCCGTTGGCAGGTCTCTTCTGACAGAAGTGCGGTGTAAAACGCAAAGAGTAAGGGCGACAGCTGCAGCAAGGTGTGGACTGCATTGCCTCAGAACTTGCGTGGTTGAATATTTTATGAGTGGACAAGACATGGTGCTTCCAAATCGCAAAAGAAAGCGGCTATGTTCACTGCTGTCGTGTCACGAAACGCCACGGCAATCTACACACGCCGGACCTAGCAGTTTAGATTAGACTAGAGTAGATTTGGCTAGGTTAGATTCGAGTAGTTTGGTGGATAGATTGGGATTAGTTTAGATTGGAATAGCCTAGATACATAGTTAGATAGGTGGATAGATGTAACATGCGGAGATGGACAGAGGGATACACAGACGACAGATAGATTGGTAGACAAATCGATGCACAAATGGATGGAAGGATGAATAAGAAGGCAGATGGATAGAAGATCAACAAGCAGGCAGGGACAACCACGCACAGCGGTAGCTTTGGGCAATCAATCTGCACTTGGGCTCGTGTCTTGTATCAGCTTCCTTTTGGCGGGGGAAACTGAAGGGATCCCCTTGTCCAAGCGTGACTTCTCGACACTGCACAAAATGCTGAGATGGTACCTACAAACCCTAGCTGGAGAGCAGAAAGCGCTGAGAGGGTACCTAAAAACCTACCTGGCAGGTTCTGTTTTGTCTGCTCCTTCAAGTTTTGGCAGGTGAACAACCAGCAGCAGCAGCTGGAGAAGCAGCAGCAGGACAGACGCTTTGCTGGGGGAGAGGTGCCTGACAAACATCATTGATGGTCCCGTATACTCTCCCACCAACTAACATGGAAGTGCACCAAGGCCAACTAACCAAGAGGAAAGTAGTTTTTCCAGAGGGGTCTGTGCACTTCCATGTTAGTCGGTGGGAAGGTATGTCGCGTTTGCTGGCGTTCACCATCACCTTTTGGGCCAATCTCAACAGAGTTTAGGGGGGACGTTTAGGCAACCCTAAACATTTTGGGATGGCGTGTGAGAGCCGATCTCTTGCTTGTTGTGGTGTACGAAGTATGGACCAGACTCCAATATTGTTGGGTTTTTGGCGCAAAAAGGCCGAGACGTACCAAATCCCTTGCCATTTTTTAAGCATCTCAATGTTGTCCAAAATCATACGAGAGCTTGTGGTGCAGATGTCAGCGAACTTCCCGGGCACGAAGACCGGGGCATCTCCACGACTCTGGGTTCCCTGAAATGTCCGGCGGGCGAAGACCTCCAGAACCATCTGGCCCCGGTGCCCAAGAAGCGCCAAGAAGCGCCAAGAAGCGATCAGCAGGATGTGGCTTGATGTTTGAGGTGGGTGTAAGATGCAAGCTGGCAGCGCCAAGATTTAATCCAACTGCCCTCCCTCCAACAAACATAGCAGCTGTGGCAGGGTACCTGGAAGAGGGTTTTCCTCTTGAAAATACCCTGTGTCAGTTGCCATGTTAGAGGGAGGGAGGGTAATGTTTACAGGCCATTGGACCCCCCAACGACGGTTTTCCTTTTGGTGCCCATGTACACCAACCTGAAAATAGTATTCCCGAAAGTACACGCTCATCTTGTTCCTGAAAGGCTTGGGGGAATTTTGCGCAGACCTTTGCTCTTTGCCTCAACCCGAATCAGCGGGCACTTCCCCCAGCACCGAGTGCTTGCATCTAAGCCATGGGGCTGGTGCAACCGCGAATTGTCCACAAAACCTTGTCGCCACCGTCCAGCACTTCAGGATTTTAGGGAGTGTCTGTTGGGCGGTGTTTGAAGGGCAAGAGGGATCCGATTCAATCGAACGTCTCCAATGAGTCCAGTGGTGAGGTCCGAGGCCAGGCAAAGCGCCCCAAAGACCTGCAGAAGCCTCTCCAAGGGACCCACTTTGTCGCGCATGGAAAGGTGGGGGTTGTGGGGTAAGCCATTTTTTGAGGCCCATGGAGGAACAGTGTTTGCAGTTATCCAGCTCCGTACCAATATACTATCAGCTTCCCCTGAACTGGTTTGGATTGGGTGTTGGTTTCCCATGTACCCCCTACAAGAACCAGAGGTTCAACTCCCCAAACCACCAATCCAAGTCACTACTTAAGGGCAACCTGATGCTAGACCCTTTTACTTACATCCTAGCCCTGTGGTTGCCCGAACTGTTCGTGGTAGGAAGTGTCTTTCCTGCTCGTGAGGACGTCAAGAGCCCAGAGAAGTCTTGGGAGTCTGTCGGGTTTCAGTGATTTAGGGGCACCTTAACAGTGTTTTCTTGCTTCCGCGTCTCCGCGCTCCAAACAAGGGTTGTCAAAAACGGCCGGTGCAAGGATCTCTCCGCTTTGCGCGGGGATGTGCAGAAGTCAGAGGAGGCGACATACATTTTTGGCAGGTGTTTTTCTTTTTGCGACGTGGGTGCCACCCGATCTTTGACCCACCTCCAGTGGTGCCCTTCTTTCTGTTCCCCGGGAGGCAGGGGGGGGGCAGGTGCCTTGAAAATCAACTACCAAAAACGGGGTGCCATGCTTCAATGGCCACTGGTCTGGGGTAAAAAGACAAATCCCGGGTAGAGCATGGGATTTTCAGTTCTTGGTTTCCCTTTCGCGGAAGTCTCGGATCTGAGGCTCCCGGAACCATCAGGCGCTTGTTTGATCCATAGTTTGGTTCGAAATAGATGGCTGTGGGGGTCAAAACCAATGGTACCATTTTTGGGCAGGTGCACCACCCATTTTAGTCTATTTCAGTGGGGATTGGGATGTTCTCTGCGGAGATAGGTTCCACTGGTTTAGTTAAGTTGTTTAAGCCATTACCAGGGACACCCATTAGTGTTTCCTGTTTAGGTCACCACGCCTTTCGGTTCAAGGGTGCTTTCAGGCTTCTGCGGAGGCTCCAAACGGTCTTTCAAGTATTGATTCGAAGTACATCCCGAATCCAAGAGTCGTATGTCAGGGGAACACATATATCTATATATATATATAATGCACTTCTACAAACACGGGGAATCCAATAACTACATGGTTGGGGGTTGCCCCCACGATAAGAAGCACAATTATTCCCCCCTCATCTCGAACCTCTTAAGAGAGACTGGCTACTTCCGCTTCCCTCCTCACCAGCCTACTCCGAGTAGAACAAGCTGGTCCTCTTGTGACTGATTGGCCCAATGCCTGGTCCCTGCCAGAAGTGCAGATTTTCGCTTGGAGGTATGCCAAACTCCCAGGAAAGGTGGCAAGATCAAAGACCAACGCTTGGGTGAGGATGGTCATCCCCTTGAGATTTCGCCAAGTGCAACGGTTCTGCTTGCAACCATGGCCGGGTCCCAAATGGATCAGGGGCATCCCCCGACAGGGGAGGCCACCCCCGGTTCGTGGTGAATCAGGCAGCTGCCTTGGTGAGTCGGAAGCTCGGCCGATTTTTTTTCAAACGCCCAACACCCATTTGTTTGGCTTGCCATGCCAGCCGTGCCAATCTTCCCTTTTTTTCTCCACGAGCACCGTTTTTGAACAACTCCCCCACCACTCTTCTATGTTTTTTTTGTAGACCAGCGATGGGTGGCGCAGCTTTCTGTGAGGCTCAGCTTCTTCGGGTGGCAGCCCGCCGCTTTTTCGGGGCTCCGGTTCCTGAGCCTTCCGCCAGGCCCTGCGGCAGCACCGCGAGCGCGCCGCCGAGCCGGGGTCCCATCCTGCCGTTTTGTTTTTCGTTTTTTTTGAACGAACGGGTCGGACCCGCCGGGGCTGGCGGAGGAGAATGCCGGCGGGTTTTGTAAACTACGTAGGCCTTGCAGCAGTGCCCTGGTACCAACTTTTTTTGGGGCAGGGTTCCCCTACGAAAAAAAGACCACGGAAAGAAAATCGGGCACCCTTGTTCTGGAGGACCTAGTATATACATATATAGGACTTGGGGTGAAGGCTTGAAGAGCAAGAATCCCCCTTCTTGGGCCTCCCCGCACGCCAAGTCGTTGAACTCCCCCCAGTACTGTGCACGGCTTGCTGTCCCAGGACATCCACTCATTCCATTTGTCCATACATATACATATATATATATACACATGTAGATATATATATATATATATGTATGTATATATATACATATATATATATATATGTATTGCGTCATATGCATGCATCCAGTGGCCGAATGGCGACCATGTCTGCATCAATCAAGCAGGCACAGTTGCTGCGCATGCGACGCCCAAAAGTTCCAAACCCGCTGTAGACGTGGGTACGATGTTTCAGTCTGCACAAAAGCCCACGACGTGGCATCACCAAGATTGCGATGGTTTGCACCTCCCAATATAGTGCTATCAGTGTCACACAACACGTTTTCACAGCCACCTATGAGCACACAGACGATGCTTCGAAGTCAGCACCGGACTTCTTCCCAAACTTAGCAAATCCCCAAAAAACCGCCTGTCTGCACCCACAAAAGACACATAGTCCGTTGCGTCTTTGTGTTTCCATTCGAACCCGGCTGTCCCGTGCCTGCGGATCACACCACTGCCACCGCAAATGGCTTCAAGGTGTGTCTCACATTTGGCCATCCCAATCCCGGTTACCCCCCAGTTAACATGCCATTCAATCCAACCACTAAAATAGGTTCTAAAATGGGTGGTGAATGCACCTACCCCAAAATGGGATCCTATTGGTTTTGACAATCACAGCCATTTGGGGAAAAAAGGGGCTTGAGCAACACGACTTCCATGAGACTTCCATCAGTGAAGTGCTCCACCGCAGAGCTTTGCAGCTCAGCCTGCATGAGTTTTTCCGGCAAATGGCAAACGTTCGGTCTCCCTCGCTATTTATGTAAACCGAAACCAAAGGAAACTAAGGGTTAATGGTTTAATGTTGCCGATAGAGTTGGTACCCTTTTCATGGTGTTTTTCTGAGCACGGGTTTGTGTTTTGAAAAAGCCGGTGCCCGTTTCAGGTCGGTTCCAAGGGAATCCAAAAGGACAACCGTAGTTTCTGGGGGCAACCTGGCACATATCCAAATTGTGCCCATCGTGTGAAGTGTCAAACAGTTGCGATACATCGAATTCCGATCGGGTGTATTCAAAAATAACAATGAATGAGCAAAAGAGAGATATGTTGTATGCTCAAGTATTTAGTTTACAGGTTGGTTGAGTAATCTGTCATTTTTTGGTAGGTGATTCATATCGGAGTATCATTGTTTCAGAGTTAATTAAAGCACATGTCCGTGTAAGGTTACACTGAACGGTTACACAGCTTACTGTTGAGTTGCCCAGTTGATTTAATTTTCTGTTGGCAGGCGTCTTCATCATGTTAGTCGAGGCGCAAAGAGTTTATACCTTTATTCCGGCCAGGATCCTCAGCGAGTCATTTTGAGAACAGTAACAACCATTTTCCCTGCTGCACAAAGCAACATGGTCGGTGTCCGTTGTTGGTTCTCTTGTAAACTCGGTCCGTTTGTTTTTTACCACGCTGGACAAGGCTCTACAGAAAATGGGGCGAGTAACCAGTCCTGTTCATAGGCGAGCCCCTCCAGCCAGTGGCCCATTTCCTCTGAAAGCAGCTTGCTCATTCTTCCTATGCAATATGAGAATGCGCCTTGCCAGGATTTCCTATGCGTGCCCAAGCGTGTCGGATTTCCTGGGCCATTCTCAGACTGTCAAGCGAAAGGGCTAAAGGGCTGCGGCCCCGGGGACTGCTGTGGAAAGGGGACGGATGTGAAACCGTTCGGAGTCCCTCCCCCGGGGAACCTCAGGGTTCGGGTTCGGAAAGCCCAGGTTGTTTGCCTTAAACCTTCCAACCCCGCCTTTTGCCCCCCTTCCCTTGGACCCTTTTCGCCAAGGACCCCCCGTTAAAGCCCTTTTTGGGGAGCCAAGAACTCTAACCCATATCCTGAAGGAAGGTGGTTGCAACACGAACCTGTATCATCCCCTCAGCAACCCAACGCCGGACGAGGCTGGAGAGGCAGCTGGCCGCCCTGCGACCAGTCGAGGCCGTTTCGATAGGGAACGTGGAACCGTGGAAGTACGGATACGTTTATGTGGAAATGGCTCGTCTAAATCTATCTGAATCTAGCTGGGTATGGCTCGTCTGAATAGGGATTCGGACCCCCCAAATTGGAGGGTTTCTGTTGGGTTTCTCTTTAAAACAACTCAACATGGCTTGAAGAAACATAGACATATATATATATATAGACACATTCACGAAGCAAAAGGCACCTTCAAAGCCTATGTCTATGGAAGACACACACACATACACAATATGAATACGCAGACATATCCATGTATTCATACGTATGATTGAGCACGCAAATGAAAAGATGTACACATCTGACGGGCATGTTTGCGGATACACATGTTTGTAGCCACAAGCAGTTATAGATACACATACAAGCAGTTATAAATTCATACCTGCACGCTTGCAGGAATTATTATCATGTTGCTAGGAGCCAATTTTGGCAAAGTTATTGGATGGTGAACAGCTCAAACATCTAATGCTGATGAGTATGGGCGACCAAGAATTGATTTGCTGCCAGCACGGTGCATATCTCCTCATGGGGAGACAGGTCCATGTGACATGTCCTTCAACCATTCGGTGGGCAGAAGCATGCCCCTTCGGCATGTTGGAGGGTGGCGAATAGATCACGACTGTCCTTACTCGGCCTGGCCATCTTCTTTACAAGAGGTCGCCAAAGCAAGGTCGTTCTCAACCCCCGTTTGATACCAACAAAGAGAGCCCCCGATCCACGAGGGAGCGGGGTAGACCTGGCATTGGATTCCGCGAAGTCCGCTGAAAGGGTTGGGCATCGAACTGGACGGGTACGCGGTTCGTGTCTCAAGCGCTGCGAGGCACATGGGCCAAACGTGGATATATTGCGGGTCTGTGGGAACCCCCGATTTTTGGCTCTTTCAAACGGAGACCAAAGGAGCACCACCATTTTGGGCGGGCCGCAAACACACGGCACCCATGTGGGCGGATTGTGTTTGATCCCACCATCATCTTGCGCCTCAAACCTGGGGCAGGGCGGCAACGGATTTCGATAGGTTCACTGGGCGAGCCTCTTGACGCGGAAAAGCCACCTCTACGGTGGACGGACGAAATCCTGCACAACTTGGACACCATTCTTTGTTGGTATTTACAGGGGAATCATCCTTCCAGGGTCTCTGAGGTGGTGCAGGATTTCGTCCATCCACAGTATCATTTGACATGTTCTGTTACGCGTGTAGATCGCAGAGTCCACTGGTCCGCTTCTCTCTCAACGGAATCTGGGCATTTTCCAAATTCGGGCACATGAACTCGCAACCGACCGAGTGGCTTTCGGTTTGCGACCGAAGGCCGACGATGAATTGTAATCAACGCGGCAGTTCGCAGATCTGCCAAGCTAAGGGTAGGTGTTTCTTTTTTTGGAGACCCCGACAAATGCTGCTTTCCTTCTGGTTCCCTTAACCCCCCCCCACCCCCGAAAATCATGCTTCCCTTCTGGTTTCCCGTTGAAAACCCAAAACAAGGGCACCCACAAGGATGCATTTGGGTCAGTGAATTCCTTTGGCCAGAATCTAGGTTCACTTATCCGCCCGCGCCGTTCGCCCGGACTCAGCCGTTCGGCTCAAGAGAGATTGAGCGGTGGAGTTTGGTCGAGCGGAGGCGGGGGTGGCGGGGGTGGCGGGTCATGGCATCAAGGCGAATCGACCAATGTCCTGACATTCCCATGTTTTTGCTGCATTTAGTTAGGCAAGGCATCGAAACTCGAGACGAATTCCTGCAGGTGGTTGGTGTCCTTTTGTTTCCCTTTAAACCCATCCAAAGGTCACTGGCGACTGGCAAGCTATACTCAGTTCGGCTCTTAGAAGCATCCCCAACGATACCAAGGCATCCTCTCTGAGGTGACAAGTCATGGGATGGTTGTTTGTGATCTTGGCGTTCCAGAACGGGGCAACCGTTTTCCCCAGTGCGGTCAACTGAGGTTTCTCTGCACCCGGGCTGTGGGGATGGCTCCCTCACGGGTTCCGGGGCTCTTGGGGATGCCACCAATTTGCGTGAATTCTGTGGGTACGTTTTTTCCAGGGTAGACGCCGGGGTTTGGGATGAAGTGAAGAAAGAGTCTTGGGAAGGCCAGCAAAGAAGCGTTTGCAGGTCCCAACCTTGATTTCAAGGCCTTGCCTTGGGTTTCCTAGCAAAGGTATAGTAAACCCACCCAACACATGGCAAAGTACATGATCTTCCTGGTTCCTTACTTGCAACAATTCGGGATCAACGGTCTGAGCTTATCTTTCCGGGTTTGCAGCCAGTCTGGCATGTTGGCCCGTTGAGCAACTACCAACCTATGTTTCACATGGCTGTGGGTCAAAACCAATGGTACCATTCTGGGGTATATGCACCACCCATTTTAGTCTATTTTAGTGGGGATTGGGATGTTCACTGGGGGTACGGGATTTTGACCCATGGCGGCATAGAGATTCACTTTTTGGAATGACAGATCAAGATTCGCCGGCCCTCCATTTTGCACAACCTAGGAAAACCTAGATGAATGTTAGTAAGGGACAATCCCCTTGCCATATATCGCTGCGGATATCCGCCTTCGTATTTCTTGAAGCATGGTTCTGGGTCGACCAATTTTCTAGCGGGTTTTGATTGTGACTTTATCGCTCAGGCCGCAGGCCGCAATGACGATGCACCCGATACATCATGGGGTGCAGCCGGAGCACGTGCAGCTTGGATGCAAACCTGCACGCGCGGTGTTTCGACAAAGTGGGGCTCACCCTAGGTTGCCAATCACTTCACTGGGCTGAAACCATAGGTCTCCTTTTTAGGTTAGTTTGGCAAGAAATAGATGGCGCTGGTTTAGGCGGTTTTTATCCCATCTACCAGGGCCTTCTGTTTTTCCAAAAGGCCACCCATGGCTGAAACCCCGCGCAGGAAGTTCGGAGCTTCAGGTTTGCGGTTGGTTCAGGTTCGCTGCCGCGCCGTCGGGCCCGCGTATGTGCAAAGGCCAGAGAACTTGTGGTGCCCGGGTTCTTGTTTTTTTTTGGAGGGCTTCCCTCCGAAAGCAATTGCCAAGACAAGTCTGCTTTTTCGAAGTTTGGGCCATTCCCCCATCAAGCCAGGCAACAGAGCCACCTACTCACCTACTAAGCTGGCCACTGCGGATCTTGGGCGCTCGAAGGACATCGCAAAGTTTTCGAGGAGCAAACCATCCGCAGATGGTTTCCAAGGCCCCGAAACCGCTGCCAACCGCTGGCAAGCACCCTACAGTGGCCACATAGTGCTTTCCCATGAGAATCCTGGGGGTAGTGGCTTGGGGGTAGTGGGTTGACCATGTTAGACTCATACCGTTCGCGCCTTCCGGCCGAGGCGCCCGTACCTTTTCAGGCTTCAAGCCGTAACAAGGGGGCCCAGCGCGCGAAATATGGTACCAGACAAGCCCTTTGTTGCGCTCTTGTAGGGGTACTTTTCATTCTTTCCAGGCATCCTTCTTTTTGGTTGAAAAGAATGGGGAATCAACCCCAAGAGCTCTACGCTTGTTGCCCACTAAACATCTCAGGGCAAGCCGATAGGGGTTGACTCTCTGAGGCACATGCTGGATGTACTGGAGTCAGACACGCACCTCGGCGGCAGGTGCTCTTTGTGCTCACAGCTTCTCTGTTGTTCTTGGGGCAAGTTGAGGCTTGAGCAAATGGAAGTATACTGTCGCCCCACCCTTGAGCAGTTCGGGCTTCGGGCTTTTCCACGACGTTTGTTCATAGCTCCCTACCGGTTAGCTTTCACCCATTTGGGACGATGCTGAGCAAACTACCGGGACTGGTTTGGGTTTTCGACCATGAAGGTTTCGGGATTCTTGATGCTTGCTGAACAGCACGCATTTCTTTGTTACAGCGCGCCCATTCAACGGGTCCAAAAATGTCAGGTTTCGGGAACCCCCAATCCGCCGACTGGTAGGGCAAAGCCCTTCATCATCCCAATCCTGGGCCTCATCGCAGGCGCGGGCGGGCCTATGTGTAGGAGCTATGGGTATGCGTGTGTGTTGTGTCTTTTTATGCTTGGTTGTGTGTGATTCGAAGTCCTTTTGGTCCCACCCCTGAATTGCTGTTGCTTGACTTGTCCCTGTTCAAGTAACTGGAGTCTAGAGGGAAGCCACCTTGACTCGAACATACTTAATATTGAATCTGCCCTGTGACACTTGATTTGCTCGCAGTCGATCTTGATTGGCCTCCTCCCTCGGAAGTCTAAGTGTCGGGGGACTCTCGGATGCTCCTATTCCGTGACCCCGGGACGGCTCTGCCAGTTTCTGTTGAGTCGTTTGCAAGTTGCTTTGATAGTTACTTAGTGCTCGAGTGGCAGAATATTTCCGTCTAGAGGTAGCTTGTATTTGCATCACGGATGCATAGTTGGTTGGTCTGGAATGTCTTTTCGTCAACTTCTTTGCTTTTCTGTCCGTCTTCCTGCTCTTGGCCCCATTGCGGGACGGCTATCTGCCCTACTGGCTGTCTACATCGTGCTGTTCTTTGGCTGTTTGTTTGTTTGTTTGTTTGTTTGTTTGTTTGTCTGTTTGTTTGTTTGTTTGTTTGTTTGTTTGTTTGTTTGTTTGTTTGTTTGTTTGTTTCTTTGTCTGTGTCTTTGGTTGTGTTTGTTTATGTCTATGTTTATGTTTATGGTTTGTGTGTTTGTTTGTCTGTCTGTCTGTCTGTCTGTCTGTCTGTCTGTCTGTCTGTCTGTCTGTCTGTCTGTCTGTCTGTCTGTCTGTCTGTCTGTCTGTCTGTCTGTCTGTCTGTCTGTCTGTCTGTCTGTCTGTCTGTCTGTCTGTCTGTCTGTCTGTCTGCCCGTATTTGTTTGGTTTGTTTGGTTGGTTGGACTGTTTGTTTTTGGGTGGCTTGTTTGTTTGTTTGTTTGTTTGTTTGTTTACTTGCTTGTTTGTCTGTTTGTCTGTTTGCTTGCTTGCCTGTTTGTCTGCTTGCTGCCTGTCTGTTTGTGTGGTTTGGAAAAGCATGCAAGTGAAGCAGGCGCCTCTAACCGCACATTGGACACATGTGATAAACAGCAATCAACAATTTCTTTTTCCCCAAGCGACGATTTCACCGATTTCGGACGCCCGAATGCACAGCTCTAGATGTGGAGACGGAGGTGACATAAGTTGTGGATGTCCTGCTCAAGTCCCTTTCAACGCCCGGGTTTTTGCCATGTGCGCCGATTTGCCGATTCAGAAGAAAGCGTTTCGTTGAATGGGCCGCCTTACATTTCCAGAATCCTGGCTTGGAGCCAAAAGATGATCAAAACACAGGCCGGCAACATGGGGTCCCTTGGTTTCCTTTGTTTTCCCTTGGGGTTGCCATCTCTCTATCCTTCTGCCGATGCTGCTTTATGGGGGCAGCAGCATATTTCATCTCTCAATTCCCCGGTTTTGCCCGCCATGCGCTTCGCAAGTTGTGCTGGGAAGTCAAGAGCGCTTCGCTCTTTTTGCTGCTTCTGGATCTCATTCCTGCAAGATACGGGGCGTTAGCAAAATGGCTGCGGGTCAAAGCCCAGGAAACCCCTGGTGACCATCAAACTAGGTGGCAGATGGGTGTTCATCCGCCCCAAAATGGCTCGGCATAGGTTACCCAGGGGCCCTTCGCGGTAGTTATTCAAAAAAGGGCGGCACTCGGCGGCACCTTTCTCCCCTCGCCATCGAGACGGATCCGCCTCGGAAACCAAAGGGCAATAGCCAGGTCCGACCTGTGGGCAACCACCAGTTGGCCTCCATTTGCTTAAGTTTTTGTTTTTTTTTTGTCCTCATTTGTTTGTTTTAAAAGGAGTTCATCACTACTGGACATATGTTTATTTTTTCCTGCGGACTTAACCAAATGGAAGTTTCGGCAATGCCCAGGAAGCCTCCCCGGAAAAAAGAAGAAGAACAAAGAAAACAACAACTCGGCGCTCCTGTGTCCGGATTGTGTTCAGACGGAAGTCCGCGATGTGTCTGCATGCCTTCCTTTTCTTTGGATCCCATCTTATCTCTTTCCCCTGACCCGGTTCCTTCAATGAGCCCATACGGGCTTAGGGTTTCGGATTTCCTCTCTTCAAGAAACCGAACGGGGACCGTAGGATTCGCCCCCCCACAACCCCCGGAGTCGCTTTGGATCCGATCCGATCCGATCCAGGGATCGTCATGATGAACCTGCCGCGCTTCGTTCAGGCGCCAGTGGGGGGGGGGGGGCCGGCACTTCTTGGGATCCATTCCAAGCGGAAAGCGGATTTTGGGTGGTGTCTAAAAATCAGGGATCACCCTAAACTTCGGTGGGTTTCTGTTTGTTTCGCTTTGAACACCCCAACAAAATGCGCCACACCCGTGCCCTTTTTTCCTTGGATGGGCTTTCCTGTATTTTACAGCACCGGGGAGGCCGTTCCTCATGGCTCCAGCCTAAGAGAGCGGCGGTTGGTCAGTGCCCCGCCGTTGGTGGGGATGTGCTTGTTGGCAGAAACATGGCCAAAAAACCAGTTTTCACGGGGTTTGCTGACATGGTGCTGGAAACTCAGAAAGAATGCGCCTGCATGGTAGCCTGGATGGTGATCAGAATCAAACCTAACATGGAACCTGACTGGACAACACTGAAAGACCCTTTTTGTCAAGGGACCGTCTGGTCGGTTCCACGTTGCTAGGCGGGAGGGGAACCAGAGGGCTGCTCTACGCTGCGGGAGACATCCAGACGATGCTCATGTTGGTTTGGCAGGCGTCAACAGATGGCACTTTTGCACGTAGCAATACGCTGATGATAGTGCATGCATCTTCTAGCAGCTTGGTTGACATGCCTTGGCGTTGATGATGCAGGTCACTTCCATGACCGTCTTTTGACTATGCCCATCCTTCCCTCAACTTGGTACCCTTTGCACGAATGACTGAACCGCCCGCAGAGAGCAACTAGTTTGCTCAGCTTTCTTTCTGGTTTGCACCCTTCTTGGCGGGCCTTTGTTGAGAGCAGGGTGGTCCATTGTGGAGCGGACAAATGCCTCGTGCTTAAGAATATTTTGGATTTTCCCCCTGCTTTAAATGGAATATATCACTGGAAATGTTTGTACTCCATTGGACCTAAATGGAAGTGTCCTTTCCCCACATGGCCAAACAGATGAGTGAGCGGCACGAACATTTTCATCGGGCTGAATGGGTTGAAGAGAAATGGCCTGAGAGTCATTTTCTGGTTCAGCTCTCGATCAGAGTCATTTTCTGCTCTTTCAGAGGAAGGGGTCTTTCAAACAGACACCTTTTCGAGGCCTCCCTGGAAGAATTGAAAGCACCTTCCATACTGTTCCATGGAAATCCATTGCTCGCCTTCCATGGGGGTGGCAGATCATTTTTTGTCCTTGCAGATGACGCACGAAGCCACGGTGGCGACCGTCGGGAAGCTGGTGCTCTACTTCGGTGCACAGCCCGGTGGCTAAGAATAGAGGGTGTTTCTTGGTGTTTGTTGGAGGGTGTTTCTTGGGCTAATTTGCCTGTGTGCACGCGCGTATTCAGCGGTTTTTTTTGCTGTACCTGGTTGAAGTTGGGTTGGTTTGAAGGGCCCTCCCAAACACGCCCCCAAGCCTTGGAAAGCTAGAACAGACCAGCACTGGAGAGGCGTGTGTGTGTGTGTGTGCAGTTTTTGGGGTGGTATTTGGAGGGGTGGTTTGGAGCAGTTCTATGATACAAGGTCCTTCATGAACATCTTCATGGGCTGGGTGTTCCGCACGCACGTCACTCTGGAGAAGGCGCGGCCTGCGTGAAGCGAAAGCAGGTGAATCCTTCCATTTGCTTAAGAATATTTTTCATTTTCCCTTGTTGGTTTTAAAAAGAATTTGTCACTACTCGACATATTTCTATTTTTTCCAAGGGTCTTAACCAAATGAAAGTGAAGGGTCCCTTGTTTTTTCCAATGTCCCTGGTGTTCATGCTGTGGTGAAAGCCTTGGGGCTAAGAATGTTCATGGGCCCACGTGATGTGAGACATAGGATATGCAAGCATGCGAACATGCGTACATGGTACGAAGACATACAAGATCGCAAGATCCCCTCCGGCAGGGCTGCTGGAACGGGCAGAACTCCTTGAGGATCTCCTTGTTTCGTCGCAGGGGTTCCATTTGGGTCGAGGATATGGCCCATGTTTGGGTTTCGGTTCCTTTGTCCCTTTGCTAAGACGTTTCGACCGTACCTTTAGAGCACACCCCACTTGTTGTGTGTCTTATTTCCTGTTTGTTCTTAAAGGAGTCTTGGAGAATTCTGAAGCATTGTGGCTACAGAACTCCACGGCTCAAATTGAATGGCCGAATGGCCATTGAGTTTCATGTTGCCCCGGAAGGCTCCTAATTATCGTGCCCCCGCCATTGGCCCCCATTTTTTTGACCGGGTTTCCAAACCAGTGGTAGACTGAAAGGTAGCAGTCCCAGTGCCAGCCCGTGGCCACTCAAGTAGCCCAACTGTGGCTATCAATTTGAGGCATTTTGGGGTATGCTGCAAACAGCTCCCCAAAGCCGGACAACCAGCGAAACCCCACATGTTGCCCCGACAAAGAACGACAAGAAAAAGAGTCCCACAGAAGGGGCCTAAACCGCCAAGACATCTTTCATCAGGTTTGCGTGTGGGTCACGTATACCTTTTGAAGACAGTGGCCTACTTTCTGGCGAACTACCCTTGAGTCCTGCAGCCCCCCACCATTAAAATACCCCCACGCCAAACAAGCGAATTTAGAAGTGAAGAAACCCAAACACCAGGAATTTTGGTATGCTCTAAAGGTGTTTATGTATATAAAGATATACACATATACATATATACACATATATATATATATAGAAACAGTTCGTTTAAAGCGGACGGTTTTCTGGGCCAGGGCTACGTGCTGCCGAACGGCAATGTCTTGGACCAGGACCTGCACGGCTGTCCTGTGGGCTTCGCGCCCTGGCCAAAGAGGGCGCGCCTCAAAACCCGATCGAAGTTCCTGGACCGCAGGGTTTCTTTGGTGCATTTTGCGTTGATGTTAGAACTTTAACTTTTTGCCCATGAATGGGTCTTCCATTAAACCACTAAAAGTTAAACTTTTAGCAGGGGAGCAGAAAGCAACCCAGGAGAGTCTCTGGCCAGACCATCCAGATGCGGCAAGCGAGAAGTTTGACTGCTATTGGGTTGGATCTTTAGACTTTAACTTTTTGGGGAAGTCAAGGGGTTTTCCAAAACACCTATGCAAGTTAAACTTTCTGCAGAGGGGACAACAGCAACCAAGCAAGTTTGGTTACTCGGTTACTCTTTTCGGAAGTGAGGTTCTTTCTATAAAATTCCTCTATGTTTGACTGTGGGCATCACCTTTTAGGCCAGTTTCCAAGCGAGCTTCTTGCAGATGGGCGTGAAACAGGATGCTAGGGCCTGGGAAACCGCCCCCCCTGTATCCACTTGGCTGCATACCATACGTGCGAGGATAGTTTGATAGTTTGGCGCATGGATTCAAGTTTTTTGGGAAGGTGGACCAGCTGGATGGAGTCTTTCAGCTGTCCGTCAAATCTGAGGCACTGACAGCTATGCAGCAGGTCATCTCATTCTTCTGCTTCATCATATTGCGCCTTGGCCCCACATCCGCAGGATCGAGAGGGGTCCAGAGGTCCACCAGTGACCGGTCTGCGGTTGTGCATTTTTGGGATGGTTTGTGAAGGGAAGCACAGATACTTTGGTGCATTTTGCCAAGGGATGTTGGGACTTTAACTTTTTGCTATCTACTGGGGTTTTCCTCATTAAGCCACTAAAAGTTAGTCAACTTTTCAGCAGGGGAGCAGATTTCGCAACCGAGTATAAACCCGATACACAAAGGGGGGGCTCCCAAGCTCAGCAAAGACCTGGGCCCTGGCAGACATGACTCAGTGCCATGACTTTAGAAAGTCAGCCTCCATGCTGAGACACAAGCCTCTCTCATACCTTCCCCAGCATTAGCTCCCTTTTTTGTTTTTGTTTTTTGCCTTTTTTGGGTCCCTTTGTTTTCCACTAACCAGGCCAAAAAGATATTTTTTGCTGGGGTCCTAATTCCAGCCTAGATACTGTGCTTGTCTATCAGCGGCACAACAGGGAAGCACACGCGGATATTTCACTTGAAGGAAGTCCCAGTTGGAAGGTTCCAATAAACGAGTCTAATAAAGGGGTTGCGATTGCTGCGCCAAAGGGCAATCATGTGTGCGTAGTATTCCAACGGACTCCATGTGTTGGCACCCATTCATCTTTGAGGAGACTATTTTAATTAGCAAGGCAATTCGGCCAAATGTTGTTCTAGGCCTTTCTGCTACCCTCCCACCAATTAACACGGAACCTGACAGGGGGTCCCTTTCAAAGGAAAATGGTCTTCCAGGACCCCCCGTCAGGTTCCATGTTAATTGGTGGGAGGGTAGATTCTGAGTTTCACATCCCAGAGATTTAGGGGCTTAAGGGTGCCCGAGCCTGGCGGCAGACCAGAGGGAAAAGCTCAATTCGGGTGGGTGTTTTGTTGATGGTACCCGCCCTTGGTTGGTTTGAAGGGAAGCCAAAGCGAACATTGCGTTGTTTCGTTTTTTTGGGCGCGGGGAGGGGGGGGGGCTAATTTTGAGATGCCCATTGGCAAATTCCGCTTTCCGATTTCTCCCAGGTATGGCGCCCTGTGACTCGCCGGCACGCGATGCATTCGGCACGATGCGTCCTTTGAGGACGCTGCCACGGAATTGGGGGTGCAAACATTGCAAGCCTCAACACCTAGGCGGGTTCCTGTAAATCAAGCTGGCATAGTTTTGTTTCGAAGGATTGTGAACTTGGGCCATGCGAGAGGCAAATGGCTATTGGTTGGCCTGTTTCTCTTCGGGTTGGAGAAAACCCAAATTTCCTAGAGAACTTGTGGAGCCTAGGCGGACCCATGTTGGGTGCGAGGGAAGTCGAGAGTAACATGTTTTTGGTGCCCGCTATGTTTGCAAGTGCCCAATGCGCATCGACCTTATCTGACTGAGCTTTATTGCCTTTCTTGCTTTCTATTTGGTCATGCTTCCGAAAGATCGACGGATAGATTTCTGGTTTTGGGTTCTCATGCTTAGTGAAGGTCCTACTAGATGATCACCTTTTGTTCGGGCAAGTGAAATGAAAAATAGGCGACCCCCAACAATTGCTCTCTTTTTGCTTGGGTCTTTACTGGAAAAGATTGAATTGCCAGTCAATGGGCGCCGCCTTCCAGTCGCAGCCGGCTGAAACTGCGTTATCTGCGGCTCGGGACGGAGTTTTGTAGATGGACAGGCTCCCTTTGCCCACCCTCCAATCCCGCTCACCTTTGCAACCTACCCCCCCCAATCCCTCCCAACCCAATCCAACCCAACTGGTAAGCTGATGGGTCATTTTGCTAGTGTCAACTTCCCACTCAGACAGCTTCTCATCACTCCCATGTCGCTCAGGTATTACACCCCATACAGGCGCGAGGGTTCGAGGGGCGCAAAAGCGTGGTGGTGTTGTGTAAACCGACATCAAGCTTGCCAGAAAAGCGCCAAGGGTAGCGGGAGCTGGAAGTGCCTTTGATAAGAAAGCCGACCTTTTGGAAAGGTAAAAGTCTTTGCATCAAACCTCATGTGATCGACTTGAGGGGTTGACGACTCCACGCCCAGTGCGGACTGGGGTGTGGCGAAACGGATCTCGGGCAAGGCCCAGAGAGACATCTCGGCCATCTCTGACGGTCCCGGGCCCCTTTCCACGCCCGTGGGCTGAAAATGAAGGTGAGATGCCAATCATGCCAATCCAAAGTTCGAGTGGTCTCTGCTGGCCAGCTGGAAATCAATTCTGGAACTACATGCCTGCACGTGATTCAAGTCGATTCTCGAATTCGGGGATCAAGCTAGACATGAGACTCATAATGCTCGGTTGGGTGCAGGAAAGTGGGTTGAGAAGGGGGCAAAAAAGAGCGACCTCACTACGATGAAGGCTGCTTTCTTGGAAGTCCATTTCTGGGTTTCGGCATAGTTCGCCCGGATAGTGCGTAGAAACCCCGATTTTGAGTCCCCCAAGTTATTGTGGGCGCTGCCCGCCTCGGCCAGGCTCAAAAAGGACCCATAGGAGCAACGCGGAACTTGAGCAAATGCTGGGCTGCACCCCAGGGTGATTTCCAGGAACTTGAACTCGAGCGGCACGGGCCGGCCAACGATCTTGAAGCACTGGGCATGGGCAGTGCAGGGCAAAGAGAAGAAGGAAGCACCACGGTGAGAAGCAGTCTTCCTCGTCGTCCTCTTCCAGCTCTTCTCCAGCTCCAGAGTGCGAGAAGCCCAAGAAGCGCAAGAAGGAAGAAAAGCAGAGGGCGGAGGTTTCCTCGGGCAGAAGCTCGGCCACGAGCTAGAGGAGTTGAGAGCCGAGGTGCGGGCAGCGGAGGGAATTCAGGAAGCTGAGCAAGGGCCTGCCGCCTGTTCTCCCAAGCCACAAGGTGTACCAAGAAGCTGGCGTAAAGCAGCTCCTGGCTGAGTTCTCGCAGAGGCGAAGGCCTTGTTGATTTTTGCTTGGTTCGTGAGGCCAGAGAACAGGTTGCCCCCCACCAGACGATTTCTCCGAACTCTTTTGGTGGCCAACCAACTGCCGATGAAATCAGGATGCTAATCACAGTTTAGATCGCCGAAGCATTGCCAGACGCTTGCAGAACAGCTAGTTTCTATTTCTGAGGTGGGTCCACTGTGCGCGCATGCAGCCTGCCTGCACGTTGGCTTCCGGATGCTACTGGGTGCATGCAGGAGACCCGGTGCTTATGCGCCTGGGCATCTGGTTTGAAAGCAGGTGTGCTGGTGGCTGTCCTCGGGTTGACTGGCCTGCCCCGCTGCCTAGCTGGCGTTCGGTGGGGCAGCTTGCCTAGACAAGCGTGCTTGGCTCAGGCGCAAGAAGCTGGCTGGCTTAGGCTGGACTGAGTTGCATGCGGACTGAATCTGAGGGTGAGGCGCTGGGGCTAGGCGGCGACTGGTTGGGGGCTTGCTTGTGGCACGGAACTCGTGGAAAATTGTCAAACACAACTTCTTTTACTGTGACTGCGCGCACCTTCCCTTTGAAGACCCTTCGTGAGGTGTAGCGTGGGGAACGCTAGGCGGTCCAGACTCTTGAGAGAGGGTCCAACGGGTTTTGTGTTCTCAGGCCCAAATGATCGGCTTCGCTTGGTCAGGATCGAGACCCGAAAGATCACCAGCTTCAATGAGGTCGTCAGCATTTGCATATTCGGCCACCCAGCGAATGAAATTCAGTTGGTTGGTGGGTGGGTGGGTGGGTGGGTGAGTGGATTCGTTGTGGGTGGGTTGGTTGGGGTTGGTCGGTTGTTTGGTCACTTGCGGGGGTCACAGGCATGACACCCGTTTTGGCACCCATTTCGGTGCCGCTGGGCTCCGCCTTTTGAAGCGGATACGAGCACCTGAAAATCATGCCCCACATGGGTGCGAATGGCGACTCCGTGCTCTCACCAAGCCAGAAACGGAAGCCCAACATCACTGTGCCACCCGTGTTTTGTTTTGCCGCAATTTGCAGTTATGCCACTTGCCTCATGCCGCTCTCTTGCCACACGCAAAGAAATCAGTGAGCTAACCGGGTTCAGGACGCCAGCGTTTGAGGCAGATGTCCGTTTTGGGGGACCCCATGTAGCAGGGAATTCTTCACCGTGGTGGGGGGGTGGGGGGGGGGTGTAACACCTCTGTTTGTCCAGCAAGGTTGATTCCTCGATCGACATGAGACAGGTTGGTGTCATATGGGTGTGCCGTTTTTTGGTGGACATTTTTAGAATCCACGCCTGCATTGGTTCGATGTTTATGAGAGGGCTTTTGTGTGAATCACCCACATCTTGTTCCTATCACTTGAGGTGCTGCACTCAATCAGAATCCGCAAGGTACGAACAATTGGGGGGCAAAGATCACCAGTTCAGTGGCTCTCTCTTGCCCTTCGGTGTGGCACTGGTTCCCCGCTACACATCATGAAGCCGAAGGCTTCCCTTTTTCTACCTTTCGGGTCACGCAGGGACGGGTTCTGTCGCCTCGACCGCCGAGGCAGCGTCTTTGCGTTGAACATCGCCCTGAACAACTTCAGCCTGGGGAGCCTTGGGCCTCCGCAAACGGTTTTTCGCTTGCCGTTTTGGCGGTGGATGCAAAACCATTTGCAAAGGGGTGTGTCTTAAAGTAGGGAAACCTGGACATGGAGTTTTTTTGGGTTTTCCTTTTGAAGAACACCAAAAGGGTGCCCTCAAGAAACGACACGCCCATATGATTAGTTGGGGACCCTTTGGTTTTTTTTACGCCCGAGGATCACGGCACGAAGGGTTTTGGCGTCCCCTGATTGCTTTCGTAGGTGCCCCTTGTTTCAAGAATCTGGGTGTGGAGGCGGCTCATGAAAGTCTCTTGCTCGCGTTTTCCTCTTTTTCTCGGTTTGTGAATAGCAATTTGCAACCAGAAACAACATTCCAGTGCTTGGACACCAAGCGCCGATTGGTCCATGTGGACGCTTGGACACAATCTGAATAATGGTTCTATATTTCCGGAAGGCGATATATTGTCATTGCCCAGGTATTGCTATTCCGAAGTGCCCTTTGGGCAACGCCCACATACCTCTTACGTCTCTGGAGCGAAAAACAAGTTGTTGAACAGTTCAGGTACAGCAGATGAAAACCTGTTCCAAACCGGGGCCGGCAAATCCAAGCGTGCGAATGTGCCAATGGGTTGAAGACTTGAATAGTTTTTTCAGGGCCCCCTGCCATCGAGCCCTTACAAGGCCCAGAACTTTCCGACTCATCATCCATGATACTTGCAGCCATGGGCTTGCGGGGCTTGCTTCCTTCTCCTCGGGGGTTGGGTTTTTTCCACCTAGGTACATCAGCATCGCAGTGAACCTCATCATTCGCTCCTGCCTGCCGCTGACCACCTTCTTGTCCCAGCAATTGTCGCCTGGCAGGTAGATCTCGTTCCAGGTTGGTTTCGGTGAGCGACAAAAGCAAGGGCGCCAAGGGTAGACCCCAATTGCCAACCATGCCTTTAAAGAAAAGGGATACGAGAACTTATCACAGGCACTCTCATTGACTGATCAGTTCCAGTTGCAGATCAGAGACTGCGTGCATGAAGGTTCCTTTCATCAGGGTTTTGAAACTGCTATTCACCCGGATGGTCTGAGCAACTCGACACTCGAGAGATCAAGAGATCATTCAAACACTGTTCACATAAGGGTAGTCCAAATCGGCAGTTTTAAGGCTGGTTTCCTTTTGGTTTCGATTGAGCCAACCCTGAACACACGTGTGCCCGCAGCTCGCGGAGCTTGGCCCAAGCTGTGAGACTGCGATGGCAATAGGTTTCCGGGAGCCCCATGAGACCCCCAAAACTGGTCTTAAAATGGCATGGAATAAAGGAGAGCACAAGGTGTCGCTGTATATGTTGGCCAGAAGGTCGGTTGGGGGCCGGAAGGTTCTTCTGTATCGTTACCAAGTCGAGAAGCTTTAGGGAAGGGCTTCCATACTAGTGGGAATCACCGCCATGCTTGGTGCTTTTTTCATGGGCGGATTGATTGAGTTGTCACTCTGGCTCCCCAACTTGCCAGTTTGGGCGAATGGAAGCCATTTTTGCGCTACTTTGGGAGATTACAAAAGGCAGTCTTCAGTCTTCAGCCAACATGTTTCAGTTTTCAGTGGTTTTGGCTCATTCACCTGGCCCAGCTTGAGTAACTCTCGGCCGTTTGGCATAGGCACACTTCCATAAGATGCCGTCTCAAAATGCGGTACAAGGTTCGGTTTCTCTCAGGTTTCCTGTTAAACAACTGACCAAAAGGGAGGGGGGTCCCAACACAGACACGCAGCGGTTCACCTCTCGACTCGGAGCCGAAGACCTCCAGAGCCTTCCCTGTAAAATCAACAGCGAAAGCAGGGCGCCCGTGTTTTTTCATGGCACCGGTGGACATTTACTCAGTGGACCATTCCGTACAGGCGCTTGGGGCGAAGCGAATCATATGGAGCCGCTTCAAAGCCCAGATTTTGTGTTGGCCCGCCTCGTCTTTTGCGGGGCGGAGTGCAAAAGGCAAACCATGGGTTGAGGGTCAAAAAGTTTTGATGAAATGGCACGCGACCAGTGGAGCCTTGGCGATCGGTGTTCAATGCATGATTTCCACCTCAAACCAGAATGTTTGGCGGGGTGTACTGTTTGCGAATATGATTCCCTTGGCGAGCAAAAGGAACACCGTGTCTTTGACTGGGGCATCTTGTTTGCAGTTGGGAGGGGCAGAGTTTTCACTACTGCCGTATGGAGAAGGTTTTGGATGCTCAAGCCACTTGTGCCAGCGTCAAAGGAGCGCATTAGCGGAGGGTTGGTATAGGGATGGTCATCCACCTCGGGGTTTTAGGCGACCAACGTAAAGAGACGCAAGGGTTGCGAAAGGGAATCGCGATGACTTGCTGGTGCTCAGGGAATGACCCAGAGTCTTGGGAATACACCTGGGGTTTTCCTTAGGGAGTTTGTTTCAAAGAGGTTCCATTTTTCATTCCGTGCTTATCGAATCAGCATGACCCATGGATGAGATTTGCCTGAGGCTTGCGATGATGGGCTTGTACCCTTTCAAGCCCTGCCGACCCACTGAGCGCCTCGGGGCACTCGGGCATTTGGAAGGATTCACTCACACCTCTGGTACTGGTTGGTTCCTTGGGCCGGGGCCGGCGCCCCATTTTGCAGCTGAGCCAAACCCGGGTAGGAAGTTGATTAAGGGGTCATGCGTTCCTGGGGTTTCCCCCTATGGCTCTGAGTCGGTATGGGATTGAATGGTCTCGGGTAAAGGTGTCTATCGCCCAAATCCCCGCAAAAGTTACACCTTCCTTTTGGTCAGATGCCAGAGAGGAAGCCATCCCGATGTGAGTCATACCGCCAAAGGGTCCACAAGTGAATTTGGTACCCAGGCCCAAGTTGTTTACTTCCTGGACCGGCCTCTATTTTGGCAGTTTAATGCACGCAGTTCGAAAGTGAGGCATTGAGAGTGAGTTATTTCGCGATGTCGCTTCCAGCTGCGAGCATGCTCTCAGGTTTGGGGGCAGCTGCGCTTGGATGTCGTTTCCAATACCGGTCTCTATCAACGTCATACTTGGAGAAACAACACCACCGGGGTTTGCCGAAGTGCTGATGTGTTCCCCAACCTCAAACCCAAGGCAGCCAATACAGTACCGATCCACAGTAAGTCAAGCCCAACCCGCTTCAAGCCACTCTGAGATCACTCAAATGCCAGCCTGAAGCTCCACAAAAGCGATAGCTGGAACGGTGTTCTCAAAGCGGGCACTTGATTTTGCCCATGGACTCGGTTGGATGTTTGTGTGGCCAGTGGTTTGATTGTGACGGTCAAAGCGTGAGTAAATCAACTCGCTCTCCAAAGCTCCAATACAGACTAGATGTGATGGCTCCCCTTCCTATGGCTCTGAATCAGGATCAGTATACGCAACACCATGTCGAACCTTGCCTTCCGCTGAACAAGATATGTTATCTATGTGCATATACACATATATGTATATACACATACACTATATACATACAGATATCTACATATACTTTATTTATATATTTATACACATTCACTCTTTTTTTAAGACAACACACATATACATGTCTGCATGTCCACCTTCATCTGATCCGCCGCACCGCGCCGAGGATCGGGCTCATGACCCTGGGCGTCTTCTTCGCCGCGCTCTTCACGGTGGCCAAGATCCTGGGCGCCTCGGCCGATCGATCGATCGATCGATCGGGGCGGACGCGGTTCAGACGCCTGTTGGGGCCCGGAGGAAGGACTCTTTGAGGGAAGCCAAGCGGAACTTTGGTGCATTTTGCCCAGGGATCTTAGGACTTTAACACTTGTTTGTGCCATCTTTAATGGGTTTTCCGAATTAAACCACTAAAAGTTATTCACTTTTAGCAGGGGAGCAGAAAGCTACCGAGAAAGGACTCATAGTGGGAAGCCAAGTGGAAGGGGATCCGCAAGATAGGTGATCGACTCACAGGAGGTGTTGAGAACCAGCAAGGGTTTGTGGGAGGCTTGGTCAAAGTATGTTAGATGTGTTTGTACATGTTGGGTTTCGGGAGGGGGTGGATGATCTGGGAGCTTTTCCCCGCACCCTGACGAAACCAAACATGTCTCCGTGTCCTGAGCCAGTCTCACCGAAGGCTTTGGTTCGGGAAATGGTTGTGTCTCAAAATAGGGATCCCACAAGAATTGTGGTTTTCCTTGTGGTTTCAGAACCACCAAAAGGGGAACCCTCAAGAAAGGACAGACGCAAATTACAAAAGGCCGTGAAGCTGCGGATTTTTGCCAATCGTACGGGAGGCATGGGATTGTTCGGGACCAGTTGAATTGCTCACATTTGGCAGAAGTGATTCGTTTGTGACTTTCCGGACCTAATGACAAGCTCGGACTACACAAACCGAGATACAACTCAGAGGGTCACATGTGTCTCACCCCCCACGGGTTCGTCTCGTGTTCACATGGCCCTGGCGAAGCCTCGAATTGGTTTTGGGTGTCCTTCCCTTTTGTTTCAATCATGGGCGCTTTGAAGAATAGGAGGCGCGACAAAAACCCGAAGTGGCTTCGTTGTTGGACGTGTGTTCAAGTTCCATCAACAAGTAGGAACCCCTAATTTTGAAGAAACGCCCACACCAAGCTTTGCGCTTCTATGCTCTTCTGCTTTTCAAAGGGACGGTAGCCCAAAGCCAACAGGGCGATGTGCCGCATGCAAGCACCTCGGGGACCGAGTTTGTTTCCTGGGAACCTGACCAAAAGCGACCCCTCCGCATTCCGAGGGATCTTTACAAAGCTTAGGCATAGGTGAGCCGCAATGAGCCTGTGTACTTGAAGGCTGGCAAGTGATAGTCCCGACCTGACATAGATTCTGATCTGCATGGGTTTGGGCAGACCCTTCAAAGCCGTTTTGTTTTGGGTTATGACTCTGGTTGGCATCCTCAAGCATAGGTGTGCCCATTGAAGGACCCATGACACCTGGGCTCTCACCACGGGTGGCCAACCCACAGCTTCGTCCACGGACTTCAGCTGGTATGTGATCGGCTGTCTACTGATTGAGAGGGCACGTTTGGGAAATTACCCCCCCTCCCCCGGCCTCTCCATTGTCGCGAACGAAGGGGCCGCGCCGAGCCTCGAAACTTTCCACGCTTTGGGGCATCACTTGCCCGTAGCTCACCTGAGGTTGAGGCAACATGTCCCGCAATCCAAGGTGATTTTTCTGAGGGAGTCCCTCGCCACATTTCCCACACGAAAGCATGTACTTTTGGAGAATACTGCAAGGAATAATAAAGCGTCTAGTTTTTGGTTTTTTGCATTGGCTTAAGACATTTTTTTATGTTCCCCTGTTGGTTTTAAAGGGAATCTATCACTGCTGGAAATATTTTCATGGGGTCTTAGCCAAATGGAAGTCTTGCGGCTTAGTCAGCGCCAGGACCACCCGCAGAGAAAAATAAAAACACCGTCCGCTGATATGAAAAAGCGCCCGTGCCTGCAATCGAGGCTCGGAAAGTCATGGCAAGAAAGCGCACAGCGAGTCCAATATGATCCTGGGCGTTGCTTGGCTCCGAACGTTTGAGCCAGTCGGGATCGGGGGAAGCCGTGGTACTCAAGAAGCCCCACCCTGAGGCTAGGCAAACCAAATTCCAGCAGGGGGACGATCAAATCAATGTCCCAGAGCCTTTGAAAATAAGCTCAGGCGAAATCCCCAACAGCATGAGGTGCTCTTTTTGGTGCTCGGCAGCCTTCGCAGAACGTCGTGGAACGCTCGTGGAACCCTAGTGGAACCCTGGTGGAACCCTCGTGGAACCCTACCTCAGGGCCGCCCCGGACCACCCCGGAGCCTATCTGGGCTGAGACCCCAAAGCTTTCAGCTGTTGGGGAAAAAAGCAGTGCAATTTTTGTCCGTTGCTCATATCGAAGTCAGGT